ACATGCATTAGCACACGCACAGGATGTACCCTTATTATTTTACATCCCATGATGTCTTGCCATTTTACATGCAATCGTGGACATTAGTATTAAGACAAGTCATGGCTTGTTTTACAAACAAAGTAGTTATTTAACATTGGTATAGACACGACGTCGTGATGTCTTTCAAATTTACATTCAATCGTGGACATTCGTATTCAGACAAGTCATGGCTTCTTTTACAAACAAACGTAGTTCTTTAACATTGGTATACACACGACGTCGTGATGTCTTCTCATTTTACATTCAAACGTGGACACACAAGCGTTTTCTATATATCAACCGTGGACATTAGCACAAGAACAGGATGTGTACCCTTATCATTTTACATCACATTATTATGATGTCTTGTCAGTTTACATGCAAACGTGTACACACAAACGTTTTCTATATATCAACCGTGGACATTAGCACACGCACAGGATGTGTACCCTTATTATTTTACATCCCATATGATGTCTTGCCATTTTACATGCAATCGTGGACATTAGTATTAAAACAAGTAATGGCTTGTTTTACAAACAATTGTAGTTATTTACGTTAGTATACATACGACGCCGTGATGTCCTCTCCTTTTACATTCAAACGTGGACACACAAGCGTTTTCTATATTTCAACCGTGGACATTAGAACACGCACAGGATGTGTACCTTATCATTTTGCTTCACATATGATGTCTTGTCATTTAACATTCAATCGTGGTCGTAAATCTACAAACAAGTTACGTCTTGTCATTTTACATTCAATTGTACAGTTCACAGCAGAGACTGGTGCACACGCGATGTCTTACCATTTTACATGCAATCGTGGATATTAGTAACAAGACAAGTCATGGCTTTTTTTACAAACAAACGTGATGCCTTCTCATTTTACATTCAAACTTGGACACACAAGCGTTTTCTATATATCAACCGTGGACATTAGAACACGCACAGGATGTGTACCCTCATCATTTTGCATCACATATGATGTCTTGTCATTTTACATTCAATCGTAGTCGTAAATATACAAAAAAGTTACGTCTTGTCATTTTACATGCAATCGTATATTTCACAGCAGAGATTAGTTCACACGTGATGTCTTGCCATTTTACATTCAATCGTGGACATTAGTATTCAGACAAGTCATGGCTTCTGTTACAAACAAACGTAGTTCTTTATATTAGTATAGGCCTACACACCACGCCGTGATGTCTTCTCATTTAACATTCAAACTTGGACACACAAGCGTTTTCTATATATCAACCGTGGACATTATCACTTTTACATCACGTATGATGTCTTGTCATTTTACATTCAATCGTGTAGTTCATCCACAGATTGGTACACACGTGATGTCTTGCCATTTTACATTCAATCGTGGACATTAGTATAAAGACAAGTCATGGCTTCTTTTACAAACAAACGTCGTTCTTTAACATTGGTATACACACGACGTCGTGATGTCTTCTCATTTTACATTCAAACGTGGACACACAAGCGTTTTCTAAATATCAACCGTGGACATTAGAACACGAACAGGATGTTCTATTCGTCGCCATTGGTAATGCCATTTAACCTCTGTTTTGTTTTTAACCGTACACGCAAGAAAAGACCCCAACTGAGTTTGTGTTTTTCTTTTGTTTTGTTTTTATGAGGGGGGGGGGGGTTCAACTTAACACGTAGGTCCCTAAAAAGAAAGAAAATGGCAACCGGGGGGGGGGGGAAGGGGGGGGGTGACCCCCAATCTCCCCTCTGGATATGCCCCTGCCGTGTCTTTTCATATTGCAGTCGATCGTTAACTTAAATATAGACAAATTATGTCTTGTCATTTTACATTCAATTGTAATAGTTCATAGGATTTACATACACACGAGTTGATGTCTTGTTATTGCAGTGGCGGCGATTTGTGTCCAAAAGTGGGGGGGGGGGATCAAGAACTTCCCCCAATAAATCACATCCCGAAAGTGAACTCGCCAAAAAATGAAACTTAAGTTCAGTAAACTAAAGTTCAGTAAATGAAGAAGTAGACACGATAATGATTCACACAAAAAAATGGTTCATTTAGATTTCGATGACTTATTTTAATACAGAGTGAATTAGAATGTTCAAATTCACTCAATTAACATGGATTTCTCAATTAAATTTTTTTTTTCAAAACTAAACTAAATAAACTGTATTGTTATACCCATTTGTTTCTTTAAGAGTAATTTGGAGTTCGAATTACCGTAGATCAACAATTTTAATGGAAAAATTAAAATCGTTTTAGAAAAATATACTGATTATTAGACTATAACCAACAAAATAGTTCAGAAATCAAAATGTTTGATTCACCAGTGTAAAAAGGTTTTGATGGTTTTGTATTCATCAGTCTGTTAAAAGGTGCGACTTTAAATCAGTGCATGTATTGGTTGCCTATATCACAAGATACAAACTTTTTAACAGAAATCATTAACTAATCAGTGTTATTTAAAAAAAATCTTCCGTGTATTCCCGTGTCACAACAATTATGTATTCATCTAAAACAGGGCAAGTGTGCTCTCAGTAAGATACAATTATAATTGTTTTTATATGGCAAAACTAAACTAAATAAACTGTATTGTTATACCCATTTGTTTCTTTAAGAGTAATTTTGAGTACGAATTACCGTAGATCAACAGTTTTAATGGATAAATTAAAATCATTTTAGAAAAATATACTGATTATTAGACTATAACCAACAAAATAGTTCAGAAATCAAAAGGTTTGATTCACCAGTGTAAAAAGGTTTTGATAGTTTTGTATTCATCAGTTTGTTAAAAGGTGCGACTTTAAATCAGTGCATGTATTGGTTGCCTATATCACAAGATACAAACTTTTTAACAGAAATCATTAACTAATCAGTGTTATTTAAAAAAAAATCTTCCGTGTATTCCCGTGTCACAACCATTATGTATTCATCTAAAACAGGGCAAGTGTGCTCTCAGTAAGATACAATTATAATTGTTTTTATATGGCAAAACAAAACTAAATAAACTGTATTGTTATACCCATTTGTTTCTTTAAGAGTAATTTTGAGTACGAATTACCGTAGATCAACAGTTTTAATGGATAAATTAAAATCATTTTAGAAAAATATACTGATTATTAGACTATAACCAACAAAATAGTTCAGAAATCAAAAGGTTTGATTCACCAGTGTAAAAAGGTTTTGATGGTTTTGTATTCATCAGTTTGTTAAAAGGTGCGACTTTAAATCAGTGCATGTATTGGTTGCCTATATCTCAAGATACAAACTTTTCAACAGAAATCATTAACTAATCAGTGTTATTTAAAAAAAATCTTCCGTGTATTCCGGTGTCATAACCATTATGTATTCATCTAAAACAGGGCAAGTGTGCTCTCAGTATGATACAATTATAATTGTTTTTTATATGGCAAAATCGCAGAAACAACTTCAACTGGGGTAAATATAAAGGTGCATTTTGAGTAAGTGAAGTTTTTATCTGGTATATCATGTAACACGATTTAAGGAATGATTTGAATAAAATAAATGACAGGTTGTCATAATTTTGTTTCAGTGCAAGTAAAGCGAATCATAGTTTTCTGATTCTGTGCATTTTCCGTTGTACTTCAACAATCCTTTTCCCCAGTCAATTTCTATACACTTATTCAAAAGTCACAGACAATATTCTATGGTGAACGTTACCATCAATATTACGGCCTGTTAAAAACCTTTTGTGCACATTCAACCGTGGATTATTGTCAACTCTGAAAAATTTGGGTAGCGCCCCTACTAAATCTATCATCGAGGCAATATTAATCCAAGTAGCCCACGGATCCTTTCCTTGAAGACTTTTACATTCGATCCTGGGAAGTGTGCATCCCATGTACACGATGCCTGCCCTCCAAACGAGTACGATGTTAGGCGCTATTCAATGGGATGTTTGAAACTATTCAATGGGTACATATTCAATGACTCTTTGGCAATCATGGACCACTGTTTACTATGAGAAAAGTATAAAACATGAGATAAGTATAAAACTTGGGCTCTCAACTTTTGACTGTACATGACCGGGGCCGTAGTGGACCCGGCTCACTACTTTGCCATCCCACAGAAGTCGCATAATAAGCATCCTCAGTTTGAGGTATACGTACTGCGCAAATATACCCCTGGTCAGCCTGGTGGGGGTATCCCATCACAAATTGGCTTCTCTAAAACACTTTATTTTACATGGTGCAAAGCTGAGCACGACTATTTCTGAGTTGAACCAGTTTAAAAGAATCTGCTTAAGTTAAATAAGACAAAATTCCATGTGATGTATACTGCTTGTGACTGGTATTTAGCTATTGTTTGCTTAGCATGACAATCACATGAAATTTTGGCTGGTAACCTGATTTTACTAAGCAAGGGTTTCTGTGCTTAAGCAATGTTGTGTGCTTAAGCAGCAGTCAACTCGGTTATTTCCTAAGAAATAGAACAAATCTCTAAGACATGAGTCCTTTGAGTATTTTTGATACATCATGGCACAACAAATAACGTGAAGGACTGATAAATAATGTAATGGGTGGCTTCACCACTATCTTGGTTTATACCGTTCATCCGTTTTTGGAAAGAAAAATAAATAGGTGCACAATGTATGGGCCAATCTGTTTTTTCAAAAAAGGGAAAAAAGTCCCGCTCTGGGCCTGAAAGCCAACACTGGAGGTAGTGCGTAGGAGAAAAACAATTTAACTCAACCAACACCTTCATCCTGAAGCTAGGAGGGGTTGAGGGAAACAATATGAACACAGGTTTGTGCTCCAATACTACAATCACCATTATGAGCACTGAAAAAGGCAACCTAAACCCAAACGCAGGGCTTTCACAATGAGAGGCAACAAAAAACCAACGTGGGGAAAAATCCCTCCCCCTCCCCCCCCCCCCCCCCCCCCCCCCCAAGGCACCTAAATACAAAAAACCCACAAAACTTAAAACAAACAAAACAGAAAAAAAATGACCACTGTCCAATAACTGAGGTAAGGCAACAATGAAGGTTTAAAAAAAGTGAAACTGGGATTGTCCGAATCTCTTTCAAACAGTTCCCAATTCGAAGCAAAAATCCCCACCCTAAGGCGTGAACAAACTGAAGGCAATCCCAATCCTCAGCTTGAGGCCAGAAAAAAATTCAGACAAAAACAAAAGGAAACCTCGATTCCCAATTCTGGGCCTGAAAAGCTATCGCAACCGAAATTTCCAACTTGGGCCTAAAGAACTGAAGCAAACCGAAATCCCCAACCCAGGGTATCAAAAAATAAAGGTAGGCTGGGACCTGAAAAAGATTACTGCAATCCCCAACCTGAGCCTGAGAACAAAAATTTAAAATCTCCAAACTTGAGTGAAAAAAATGAAAGTAACTTAAATCCCCAACCTGGGGTCTAAAAAAGGTATAGGTAAGTGAAATCCCCAACTTGGGGTTTAAGACGCATAATGTAAGCATAATTCAAATCTCCAACCTGAAGATTGAAAAACTAAAAGGCAACTGCACTTCTTAATCTGGATTCTTAAAACCTAAAGCTTAGTGAAATTCACAGCTGAAGGTGACTGAAATTATTATGTCCTTTGAGGAGGCAGTTTGGGGTAGTGATTGAGGTGAAAGAAGCAATTTGGATTATTTGCGGAGAATTTTCACATTATTTGCCTTGTGTAAATTAACTTTTCCATCCTCATGTCTGAAAAACAAGAGTTAACTAGAATCCCCTCTACCTGGGGTCTGAACAATAAATAACAAAGACCACACTATAGTGCATGATGAAGACAAGGGAAACATTGATCCCACACTGGAGCTGGATAAATTTTAGATAAAATCTAAAGGATCCTTTTTCCCTAGTCGATTTCTCACGAAATCCTTGATGTTAGTCCATGTTCTTTCTTGCAAGACACGTTCAGATGACAAGACAGACACGATTTCCTGTTTACCAGGCAACTTGCATGTTTGAAAACAATGGCCAAAATTCTTGACTACAGCCATCTTCTCGTCATTGCTCCATGGTGTTTTGGTTATCTTCCTGGTTCTCCTTTTCCCCTCCTCGTTGTGTGCGTTGTGTTTACTGCTCATACTACTAGCTTTCTTTGAGGCCTTCCCACCTACATATAAGAAGGTGCATGGAAACATTTTCAACTGATGCTTGAACTGCTTTAATTTTTAGTAAGCTGAAAAACACTGGAAGCCAAATACATGGAATGCAATGGATTGTCCAATTAGCAATAATTATCTTAATAGTGGAGCTGCATAGTGAAAACTTGTGCATATTGTGTTAACTAAAAGCATGATGTGTGGCGTGCGGGCTCAGAATAGGCGAGAGAACATTAAGATTTGGATCCGTATTGGATCTTGCCAATTATTATGGGTGGGACATGATTAAAAAAAAAAAAATGGAAAGACAAAATGCCAACTCAAAACTGTCTTTAAAAATATTTTTTCCTATTCTAAATAACAATACACTTAGAAATAAAGTAAAACTTGTTCACCTTTTAATAGGCCCTGCTTTTTCCACCATTTTGTGGCTGTGGCATTTATTTCTCAAGGGGCAGTTTATTGGTCATTCAATTTCATTAAGGCACAAACTGCATGTACATTGAAAAAAACAAAACCTGTACACGCTGTATACACTTTGAAAAGGCAATTTTCAGACTAAGGTTATTTTATTTACCCCTTTGTAGGAATAAAGCCAACTATTATTGTAGGGTTGAAAATCAGAAACGTTGCAGCAGGCAGCTAACTGAAAAATGGTTCGAGGTTTTCCGAGTTGAACTTCGTCCGCCCTCTTTTTTTCAAAATCAGGCAAACACCCCTGGAATAGGCAAGATCCTGTAATTTCTTGTCTAGACTGAGCCCACGTGCCAAATGTCATGCTTTCATAACAAAATGCACGCTTTGGCAAAAAATGACCATTAATTAGCAAGTCCACTACACAAGTAAAAACACATGAAATTAACATGCACATTGTGTGAAAAGCATCAAGACTTTATGTGAATGTCATTTTTTGTGTGTTTTTCAGTGCCACACATTTTCATTAACCCATAGGTCAAGACAAGGGTCAAGATGAAGATCACTTTGTGTAGTAAAACTGACAAGATTGTTACTAAGCTGGTGTCTCCAAGTGATACATTTCAAACTTACCTCCGGTTGGTTCTTCTCCCTGGTGGTGTGAATTCTTCTTCTGGCCACTGCTGCCCTTCTTCTTTGAGCCCACGTGCCTCTCATCGTCATGATCGACATCTTCATCACCTAGTGGTTCATCCATTGGAGATTTTGAAAAGCAAACATGGATTAGTAACTCCTTGGGATGATCTCAACAAATATATTCAACTTTGGTAGAGAATATACAAGGCTTAAATTCTGACAGGCATGAAACATACCTCAAGGGTGTGAAAGGCATTAGGTTTTTCCTTTATGTACATTGGTAAGGCCAAGGGGCAAGATAAAGATTTTCAGAGATCACCTTGCCAAGTAAAACTGGAGACATTGTTATGAAGTTGCTGACCCCAGCTAACTAACTTGCATACTGGAGACCTGAACACACTGCATGATGTTTAGCATGCGGGCTCAGAATAGGCGAGAGAACATTTTAAGATTCGGACCCATGTTGGATCCTTTCTATGTTGGGGAAAAGGCATGTTTTAAAAAAAAAAAGGACAAACAAAAAACCAACTCAAAAAACTACATGTATCTTCAACACTAATTTTTCCTGTTCTAAATAGCAATAAACTTAGAAATAAAGTAAAACTTGTTCACCTTTTAATAGGCACTGCTTTTTCCACCATTTTGTGGCTGTGGCATGTATTTCTCAAGGGGCAGTTTATTGGTCATTCAATTTCATTAAGGCACAAACTGCATGTACATTGAAAAAAACAAAACCTGTACATGCTGTATACACTTTGAAAAGGCAATTTTCAGACTGAGGTCATTTTTATTTACCCCTTTTTAGGAACAAAGACAACTATTATTGTAGGGTTGAAAATCAGAAACGTTGCAGCAGGCAGCTAACTGAAAAATGGTTCAAGGTTTTCCAAGTGGAATTTTGTCTGCCCTCTTTTTTCAAAATCAGGCAAACACCCCTGGAATAGGCAAGATCCTGTAATTTCTTGTCTAGACTGAGCCCACGTGCCAAATGTCATGCTTTCATCACAAAATGCACTAATTGGCAAAAAATGACTATTAATTAGCAGCTCCACTACACAAGTAAAAACCATTATCCAGGCTTTGACTACTGCCATACCATAGCCATGCGCCAACAATGGTTTTCACTATGCAAGGTGATGACCCTTGTCTTTGACCTATGTGTTAATTCCTAGTACTGAAAAACACACGAAAATAACATGCACATTGTGTGAAAAGCATCAAGACTTTATGTTGTTTACACATTGTGAATGTCATTTTTTGTGTGTTTTTCAGTGCCACACATTTTCATTAACCCATAGGTCAAGACAAGGGTCAAGATGAAGATCACTTTGTGTAGTAAAACTGACAAGATTGTTACTAAGCTGGTGTCTCTAAGTGATACATTTCAAACTTACCTCCGGTTGGTTCTTCTCCCTGGTGGTGTGAATTCTTCTTCTGGCCACTGCTGCCCTTCTTCTTTGAGCCCACGTGCCTCTCATCGTCATGATCGACATCTTCATCACCTAGGGTTCATCCATTGGAGATTTTGAAAAGCAAACATGGATTAGTAACTCCTTGGGATGATCTCAACAAATATATTCAACTTTGGTAGAGAATATACAAGGCTTAAATTCTGACAAGCATGAAACATACCTCAAGGGTGTGAAAGGCATTAGGTTTTTCCTTTATGTACATTGGTAAGGCCAAGGGGCAAGATAAAGATTTTCAGAGATCACCTTGCCAAGTAAAACTGGAGACATTGTTATGAAGTTGCTGACCCCAGCTAACTAACTTGCATACTGGAGACCTGAACACACTGCATGATGTTTAGCATGCAGGCTCAGAATAGGCGAGAGAACATTTTAAGATTTGGACCCATGTTGGATCTTTTCTATTTGGGGAAAAGGCATGTTTTTCAAAGAAAAAGGACAAACAAAATACCAACTCAAAAAACTATCTTTAATTTTTTTCCTGTTCTAAATAGCAATAAACTTAGAAATAAAGAAAAACTTGTTCACCTTTTAATAGGCACTGCTTTTTCCACAATTTTGTGGCTGTGGCATTTATTTCATTCAATTTCATTAAGGCACAAACTGCATGTACATTGAAGAAAAAAAAACCTGTAAACCGTTGTATACACTTTGAAAAGGCAATTTTCAGACTGAGGTCATTTTTATTTACCCCTTTGTAGGAATAAAGACAACTATTATTGTAGGGTTGAAAATCAGAAACGTTGCAGCAGGCAGCTAACTGAAAAATGGTTCGAGGTTTTCCGAGTGGAATTTTGTCCGCCCTTTTTTTTCAAAATCAGGCAAACACCCCTGGAATAGGCAAGATCCTGTAATTTCTTGTCTAGACTGAGCCCACGTGCCAAATGTCATGCTTTCATAACAAAATGCACGATTTGGCAAAAAATGACCATTAATTAGCAGCTCAACTACACAAGTAAAAACCATTATCCAGGCTTTGACTACTGCCATACTATAGCCATGCGCCAACAATGGTTTTCACTATGCAAGGTGATGACCCTTGTCTTTGACCTATGTGTTAATTCCTAGTACTGAAAAACACACGGAAATAACATGCACATTGTGTGAAAAGCATCAAGACTTTATGTGAATGTCATTTTTTGTGTGTTTTTCAGTGCCACACATTTTCATTAACCCATAGGTCAAGACAAGGGTCAAGATGAAGATCACTTTGTGTAGTAAAACTGACAAGATTGACTAAGCTGGTGTCTCCAAGTGATACATTTCAAACTTACCTCCGGTTGGTTCTTCTCCCTGGTGGTGTGAATTCTTCTTCTGGCCACTGCTGCCCTTCTTCTTTGACCCCACATGCACCTCATCCTCATGATCGACATCCTCATGTAGTGGTTCATCCATTGGAGCTTCTGAAAAGCAAATAAGGATCATGCATTTCTCAACAAATATTACCTGAAAATTGACATCCTGTAGATAATGTACAAAGCTTCATTTCCAGCAGGCATAAAACATTAGACTACTATACATGGTAATGGAAAAAACATGTTCTAACTTCAGAGGAAAAAAAGATTACGGAGGAGACCATTTCAGAGTTAATTTACCCAAACATGTTCTAAAAGGCTTGATAGACTGAAGAAAATTTACCTTCTTCTTCCTCTACACGGATCTCATCAAGACTGCTTCCAGCCAGGCTCGACAGGTTTCCCTTTTCCATCTGAAGTAGCACCTTCGAAACCTTTGCGACCTGTAGTGTTTGCTCCGGGAGGCGATAAAACTCCCTATGAACCCTGATATCATGACCCATGAAATTAGCCAGTATGTCCTGCTCATGATCCCTCAAGTTCATTACTTGTGCAACAGTGCCGATGTGCTTACGTAAACGAGTTGACCTAAGGTACTCAGGCTTGCTAGCTCCACATAATCCTGCATGTTTACGAAGAACATCAGAACCTCTGATATGGCCTAGGGAACTCTGGACTGGAAACATGAATTTATTTCCATTCATTACACCAGCCTGTTCTCTTTTGCACTTGAGAAGGTCCATACTTTGTTTCAAGTCCTCTGTCAGGAGCACTGGTACAGTCCTTCCTCTCTTCCCGACGATCTCCATGCGCCAGACAATTTTGCACAACTCCTTCTCCCACCCTGACAAGCCTTCCATCATGATGCCTTCTTCACCTTTCTTACACTTATCAAAGTCGGACAACTTCATTTTGGACACCTCACCAGATCTCTTCCTGTTGAACACCAAAACTGAAGTCAAAGTCACTTCAGCCAACTGTCTGTAGACATCTTTTACATGAGCTACATCTACCGGGTTGCACAGCTTTTTCTTCTCCTGTTCTACCTGTCCTTTCAGGTATGATGTAAGCTTGACAACATCACGTGTCACAGGGAGATATTTTGGATTGTTTCTCTTGTTTTCAGTCAATGTCCTTAGTGCATGAGTTGAAACCATGTCTTCCCAGTTAAGGTCACACAGCTTAATAAATGCTGCAGCTCTTTTTTCAAGGGCCTCATCCTCATTGCTGATGGCTTCTCCCAGGAGAATTCCAGCAGCTTTTTTCAGTGTGTGCCCAATTTTTAGGGCCAGGCTTGGGGTGCGGAAGAGATGACTGTATCAAATCCTGCCGTTTTTCTTGTTGCAGATATTACATCATGAAACTTCCGAGGGTGGATAAGATCTTTCAGTGATGCATTCTTTTCATGTGTTTTTTCTCTGTACGTCAGAACCATTCTACCAACTTCACGAAGTTTCCCCCTAACATTGGAAAATTGTTCTTCATCATGACCCAACTTGAAGGTAAGTTTTTCGGCCAACTTTCTTACGAGTGGGTCTCCCTTTATGAAACAGGAAACCCCTTCCTCATCTTCCCTAAGGCCTGCATACATTTTCTGCACCTTTTCACTCCTATCAGACGTAGGAAGCATACATCTGCCTAATCTGACAAAATCTCGCCTCTTCTTCTTTCTTGGCGGTTGATCCTCATTCTCATCATCTTCCTGATCTTCCCTTAGCTTACAGCCATGTTTCCAGAGGTCCCCTTTGGCAAAGTAACCTTTGCAATCACTGCAGGGCAAGTAGTGTCTGTAGTCTGCTTCAAAGTTAGGCCTGTAAACTGGTATGATTGTACCTTTATTCATTAGGAGAACTTCAGCATTGTGATGGTAATTGCCCAGATTTCTTATTTTGGTTAGCCTTTTCTCCTTTAACTTCAGATCTGTGGTGGCTTTCCACTGAATGACTTGTGGCTCCTGTTTATGTGCTTTCACTTCCCTAAATGTCGCGGTAGTTTCATCTGATATGTATGGCAAAAGGGGCAGTATGCACCTTTATCCCACTTCCGTTTGCCTTTGTTATTGTCGGTACGCATAACCTTTATGGAAGTAGTATCAGTGCTATCAGCAGTTTGAGGACCAACAGAGGATGAATCATCAACAGTTTCACTGGTCGACTCTGCACTGTTGTTATTGGCCAACACTCTCCTTTGAGGCAAGGGTATAACACAGAACTCCTCTGACAAAGCATCAGACTCAAGTACAAAGCTTTCATCCGAATCAGAAGCAGTATCTACCGATTCACTTTCATAATTAGGATCATTATCATCAAATTGTGTCGATGTGACCATGCTTTCAACATCACTTAATGTAGCTTCAACACTGGCAGCTGCTTCCCTATCAATACCTGACTGACCACAACTGGAAACAACTTCATTTATTGAAATCTGACCTGCTGCTTGACTACTGTCGACAACTACTTCACTGCCAAGAAAAGCTGACTGACCACAACTAGCAACTTCACTGACTGCAGTCTCATGAACAGAGTGGCCACAACTTCCGACAACTTCACTGACTGGATGATCACATATTGCTGCAACTGCACTGACTGGTTCATCACAACTTGCTGCAACATCAATGACTTGTTGGCTACTTGTGACAACTACTTCACTCGTATGAAAAGCTGACTGACCACAGCCGGCAACTTCACTGACTGCAGTATCAAGAACCAAGTAACCACAACTTCCAACAACTTCACTGACTGATTGATCACATCTTGCTGCAACCTTTTGATCACAACTTGCTGCAACTTCACTGACTGGTTCACAACTTGCTGCAACTTTACTGACTGGTTCATCACAACTTGCTGCAACTTCACTGACTGGTTCATCACAACTTGCTGCAACTTCACTGACTGGTTCACAACTTGCTGCAACTTCTTTGACTGGTTGATCACAACCTGCTGCAACTTCACTGACTGGTTCACAACTTGCTGCAACTTCACTGACAAGTTGATCACAACTTGCTGCAACTTCACTGACTGGTTCATCACAACTTGCTGCAACTGCACTGACTGGTTCACAACTTGCTGCAACTTTATCAGTGACTGGTTCATCACAACTTGCTGCAACTTCACTGACTGGTTCACAACTTGCTGCAACTTCACTGACTGGTTGATCACGACTTGATGCAACTTCACTGACTGGTTGATCACGACTTGATGCAACTTCACTGACTGGTTCACAACTTGCTGCAACTTCACTGACTGGTTGATCACGACTTGCTGCAACTTCACTGACTGGTTCATTACAACTTGCTGCAACTTTACTGACTGGTTGATCACGACTTGCTGCAACTTCACTGACTGGTTCATCACAACTTGCTGCAACTTTATCAGTGACTGGTTCATCACAACTTGCTGCAACTTCACTGACTGGTTCACAACTTGCTGCAACTTCATTGACTGGTTGATCACGACTTGATGCAACTTCACTGACTGGTTGATCAGAACTTGCTGCAACTTCACTGACTGGTTGATCACGACTTGATACAACTTCACTGACTGGTTCATCACGACTTGATGCAACTTCACTGACTGGTTGATCACGACTTGATGCAACTTCACTGACTGGTTGACTACAACTTGCAGCTTCACTGTCTGCAGTCCAAATGGCTGGCTGACCTCCACTGATTTCAGTGGAACAACTGACCTTAGCTTGTTCTTTGGTGGTGGCTTGAGACACACTTGGTTGCTTCTGTTGTGAGGCTGTTCTCCACCAAAGTCCCTTCACTTGATAATCGTACCTTAATTCCTCTCCCTGTTTTATGTCTCTCAGGGCAAACAAGCAAAGGTGAACTGTTGGACCAACGTCTATTTTTGTAATTTTTACATTGCATGCCTTGTGACGTTGCTGAGCATCATTAACAAGACGGGCAAGACTGGAGTTTGTAGTTGCATCAATACTATAAAGAGAAACAACATCTGATTAGATGGGACTTGCAAACATGATAGATCTGTGGTTTTGTACACGCTTATACTTTTGACCCAGTTGTGTTCATTCTTACGATGTAGATGATAAGAATTCACCTATGATGGGGGACTGTCCTCAGTTTGTAACCTACATACATGTACGCTGGGTCTGAAACGTTACCGATATAGAGATATCTGCAGTTCAGGTGATTCCAATACAATAATATGGCAGAGGTTTTTCATCAATTAAACCATGTTTCCCTACCCAAATATTTCATAAAGCATGTCACTCCTAAACCAGGAAATGAGTGTTCGAAAATTGGAAAAGGGATAATTTCCTCGAAAATACCATTTTGTGTGTTTGGAACAAGAGTATAAAAGTAATAAAAGATTTGCAATGAAAAGGGGAGCAATACCCATTTAAGTTGGTACATAATGACCCTGTTTGTCTTTGCACCACATCAAAAAACTTAGTGTGAAGCACGAGTGCTACAGGTGTTTCCATAAAATCGTCACGATCATGATTTTTTTTATGCTGTACAGTTATAAATTGTTGGTTTATTTTTTAACTGTTTTTTGTGTCTTTTGCATTTGTTTTTTACTATTTTTCACAGCTGCCCTCAATGCGTAACAGGTTTAACCTGCACGTTTCTCGATCATTTACATATGCAAAAGTGACCGGTGCGCCCCCCCCCCCAACAAAAAAATATTTGTTCGTATTTTCGAAGGTGTGCCCAGTGGTACGGGTTTTTACGTACGTTTTTTTTTCTTTGACATTGAGGTTTCTAATAGCCAACTGATTGTGACCACCGTTTCGTATCTGGACCAGGTTTGGACATTCTTGAGCTTTTCAAACATGATATAGTAACAGTTTATATTTTACAAAAAATATGACATTTTGATGAAATATAAAACTATTTCAGAGTACAAGTAGTGGGGCAGAGTACATGTAGATATGTATTTTGTTTTAGCAGCCTGAAAAGCTGACTGACCACAACTAGCAACTTCACTGACTGCAGTCTCATGAACTGAGTGGCCACAACTTCCAACAACTTCACTGACTGGATAAACAAAGTTGGTGCAGAGTACATATATTTCGTTTCTCATGCCTGTTCTGAATAAGTATAGTCTACGCCATAAGGGGCGGATTCCCCGCCCCTAACTTCACCCTGTTACCCAAAGATGGCAGGTGTACGGAAATTAATTATCTACCGAAAAACATTAGACAACACCCTTAAGTACAAAACAACCACTTCCAGGACCAACAAATACTAAATAACACGGAAAAATTCACTCCAAAGATGATTTTGACAATTTACGGGAAAACCTGTACCACTCGAGCTTCTGAATCAATTTTTCGATGTGGTTCCTTGTAGGGGCAGAGGCACCGCACATTGCTCCCCTATACTATACCCTAACCCACCCACAGACCCTTCCAGTAACATCAATGCCAACTGTCCACCACCCCCCCCCCCCAATACCACCCCCATGCCACCAATCAATGTCACGTGTGTAAAAAAAGAAGAAAAAAAAGCTCCACAGTTTTACACTTGTGGAGTCAGAGGGTATTGGCTGCAGATATCAATATACTGTTATTAAAACAGATGCTAAATTCATTAAAACTTACCACATTGATTTTCCATTCCAGCGAAAAAAGTACTGGTAGCTATGCCGTGAGGTATAGTGTCTGCTGCTGGCTTCTTTTTCTGACATTACCTCCCCTTTGTATTCCAAGAGAAAGTCCCCTTTGTCAAAACTCCTGGTAGTAAACACCCCAAATCCTGTAACATAGATCAAGCAATGACAAATGTAAGAAAATGCAAGAAGAGTGCATCCAATAACTTCAAATGAAATGGGTTCCGTATGGGACAAAATGGTTTCTGTTGACACATGAGTGTAAATCGGGGGGGGGGGGGGGGGGGAAGTATATTTATGTATATCCCCCCCCCCACTTTTTGGCCAGGGGGGATGGCCCATAGAATCATCCTCCCCAGATTTTTCTGTACAATGCAAAAAAATTGCGATATAATTTGCAAAACATGTGATATATCATTTGTATCATAGGCTGTATGACCATGTTTAGCTCTGCATTATGTACTAGTAGTACATTATGGTATACGTTTTTGAAGCACGCCCCCAAGTTTGTGTCTTTTGATCGTGATGTTTTTTTGGAAAATTTTGATCATCCCCCTCCCCCACTTTTGGACATCGATTTACGTGTTGACATCACACTTTCACATTATATATGACTGCAGTAGTACTATGAAAAGAATAAAGAATCAATTTGGTCCAGTTTCCTCTGATTTAAATTTACTTTGTAAAAAATGTAAAGTTTTAGTCAAAATACTTACCGATTTCTTCGCTGATGAATTTTGCCTCAAATCCCTCCTGATCTTGATCCCTCCCCAGATATTTTTCAAAATCCCTTCTTTTTGTACCTGCAGTTCTTGAGGTAGACCTAGTTCTTGGTCCCTGAAAACAATTTCAAATTAATGATTATTTTATTGAACATCAACAAAATATAAAAATGTTTTATGTTTTTATGGGAAATTGATCATATGATGGCTTTTCAACATCAGCTTGTGGCATTAAAAAAAACATACTTTTTGGACATTCCAATTATTGCCAAGCTTTGTACAACTATATGTAGGACACATTCAACAATTAAGCTACAATAATCTATATTCTTACATGAGTTTGAGTTGTCCTGGTGTTCATGATGGCTGTCTGAGGAGCATGTGGGCTCTGTAAAAAAAAAGACTTTCCAAAATAAACAATAACTTCTGAAGAGTTTAAACAGATAATTTTAAAGAAAGAATTCCATATCTCACAGCCACCTTACACCTCATGTACAAAGTCTATGGGCCATGACTGAAAAGTATTTTCAAAGAAAAACTTGAAATTGTCCCACTCCTAAATTGGTGTTTTTTCAGCAGATTTTCTCTTCTTGGTAGTTGTCAAGTCATATTAAATTAAGGGGGAAAAGTGGCGGTGAGATATGGAATTCTTTCCATTTTCTCAATTTACCCCAAAAGATTTTTTTAGGGATTTCAAATTGTAAATAGCTTTTGATCTCATAACTGAGTTCCTTTTTGAAATGCTGCCATTTTGTGTGTATATTCCTCAAGAGCCGCATTTCTCGTTTTCCTGTATTAAAGAGGATGTGGATTGCTGAGAGAAATGTTCGTCATGTTGTAGTTTTATGTAGACTAGGGTATATCACAATAAAACAGGATTTCTGATGTAAAGTTAGAGAGGTATAAGCTACACACAGTGTTGCAAGATTTTACTGTCATAACTGACCCCCCCCCCAGCCATGACAAATATATATCATTTTTTTGAAATGGGTGTACATATATAGCAGGTACTTCAGTGTTGGTAGATTGTAAAATTTACAAGGTAATTAACTCAGAATGGTTCTGTCATGTTGTATTTCACAAACTTAAATATATACCATTCTCCAAGTGAGTAATATAAATGTTTGCTATTACATTTCGTGATCCTACCTTCCTTCTACAAAAATAAGCACTTATTGTGAACTTAGAGTTTTGTTACACCCATTTCAGAGAGGGTAATGACAGTAAAATCTACATGTGGAACTAAAACTTAAGAGTCAATTTGATACTAATAACATTAGCCCCATAAATGTGGCCTATTTACTGGACTGCCTCTGTAAACATAGGCAACACATCCACATGTACAAAAATTGTGTCGACTTTGCCAAATTTTGATTTTCACATTTAGGCTTAGTTTGTAGGATTGTTTTGCTTTAGAAGCATACTCACCCACTTTATAGGCTAGTCAGAAAGTGCTGCCTTTTTCAGACGTCTAATTTTTGTGAAATTTCATGTTGAAATTTTGATACGCAAACGTGTAAAAATGAATCTGGAAATTTCACGAAAAATATACATCTGAACAAAGGCAGCACTTTCTGATTAGCCTATAAAGAGGGTGAGTATGCTTCTAAAGCAAAAAAAAGTACAAACTAAGCCTTAATATGAAAATCAAAATTTGGCAAAGTCGACACGATTTTTGTACATGTGGATGTGTGGCCTATGTTTACGGAGGCAGTCCAGTAAATAGGCCACATTTATGGGGCTATAATAACATCAGCTATTTCAGCATTTACTCTCCCTGCCATAAAATGTTAGATAAGTGAAACTTACTTAAAAAATCATGGATTATTCTGGTACTACACAACAACTCATACCACGCTCTGTTATAAGGAACTGTACAAATTCAAAATCATTCTCAACAGCGAAAAATAAAACTTGAAACTGGTGCCAGTCGCATCGCCAGTAGGGAATCTTTACTAAATCACAAAAATGAGATAAAAAATGTGACTCGCCAGGATCACCACATATAACATATCCAATCACTGGACATGCCATCTTACATCAATCACGGACCTAAGGTCCGTGCATCAATACTTACTGAACCTTTGAAGTAAATGTTGTTACCAGCAATTGCGGACTCGTCGGCGTTTGCTTCTGACATTATTACTGCCCATGACTGACACTGCCTTCTTAAATTTAGCGGTGAAAATTACGTGAAGGTGCAAGGTGGTGGATAAATCACTAAACAAGATTATAGGCCTAATAATAGTCCAAATATTTACTCACCGTCGTGCAAAATCTCAAGCATGCTGTGCATTTGGCGCGCGACGTGTCCGCAGTTCTGCGGTAATATGCGTTCGACGGCACGCAATTCGTCGTCACGATGTTGTGTGGAGGGGTTAGCGCTGATGCAGCGATAGAGGGCGCACTACAATAACGGGACATCCAGTGAGCAAATCCACGCACACGTTTTGTGCGTCGAATATGCTGTTCTGCATTCAATAGCGGACCGGCTTCAGATGAACGTGCAATTCATAGAGCGCCCCCACTTGACTGTTAAATGACGGAAACGATACCTATCTAAAATGCGGACCGTCCCCCATTGCAGGTACGTCCGCGGTTTGAAGGTATAAAACCCTGAGTGCGTCCGCATTTGGCGGTGAACACAAACGCACCCACACATTTGAGTTTGGGTCATTGCGTTTAAATGGTGATTTTTTTTGAACGGATTTAGCAATTTCATTATTTTTTCTTCTCAAAGTAGCTGATAAAATTTGCTTTCCAGTCATTCTTTCTTTGGTGCTATATATTTTGGGGGTTTGGGTCCCGCTTTTTTTGACTCACCCTGTAAGAAATGTGATCCCCGCGAAACAGAAATCCAGAGATTGTCGATCGCTAGCGACATAAATTTGAGCTGCACAAACAAACTTTGTGAGACCAGGATCGGTCGTGAGACATCAGAGATCCAGGACTGTCGAGACCCTATCTGACTGTGAGTGTGGCCATTTGTGTGTATATATAGCGATTTATGACAAATTAAAGATTATTTTCAATTTGCATTAATTACCTGGATGATAAAAGTGACTTTTAATTCTCTACATTTGAATCTGGACGAGTGGATGAATTAATAATCATTATAGTGATATAATGACCATGATAGTGGAATTCATCATTTTATTAAAATCTTAGAGAGAGACTACTTGATACATTGGAATCCTTTTAGGAAATTTGAAGCTTTATGAGAACCGATTTGTTGAACCATTGTTGAGGCCAAGGGGCCGAGGTAAAGCAAGCCGGGCGTGACCGGCCGTCCACCGCATCATCGAGCCACCGAGAGCGAGCAAGCCGTCCAGAGAATGCCAAGTCCTATTGAGGGCCGAGTGTCGAGTGCCGAGTGCCGAGCGCCAAGTGCTGAGTGTCGAACTGACACAGGACATTTTCCGACAAACCGTGGTGGGCCCAATAATAACAACAAAATATAACGGAATAATATTATGGTATAGTAAGCCGGCTATCTAATTTTGTGTGTGTGCAATATATTATTACAGATATTTGTAGGCTTAATTACGTAGTTATCCATATCGTAGGAAATCTAGACATTGCTGTAAGAATAATCAGTGGGATTAAAAGGAGGTTCAGGTTATTGTTGTCAGCTTAATTAACAATAGAGACATTCCTAATTTACTGATTTTTGATTTACGTAGAATACTTCATTTAATTAATATACTTTGATATTTGAATCTCGTCATTAATCCTTGGTAATTATTTAATCCGTACACATACATATATCTGCAAAGTTCATAACCGAGGTTCAGCTTCGTAAATGATTACTACTTCTCTGATTGTGGGTGTAATAAATCACTGTAAAGAATTCCGTAAATAAAATAATGTAATTTATCTTGTATTATAAAAGGACTTGTATTATAAAAGGACTTTTTGTGATTTTCTTTCAGTGTCCTATACATATACGAGTGGTTTAGGGTCGACAAACGGGGATCACTTAAATTTTCTGGTAAAAATTAGTTCCGGGTGTGACATTAGGCTACATAATCACATAATTATCTCGCCACGACGACTTACCGATATCGACTTGTTGACTTGTCGAGATGTATATCTCTCCACATCGACTTCCCAAAGTCGAGATGGCGACTTGTCGAATTGAATTATTTCGCCAAGTCGACTTAGCAAAGTTAACATGACAAAATGTCGAAATGTACTATTTCGCCAGGTCGACTTAATAAAGTCGAGATGACGACTTGTCAAGATGTATTATCTCGCAAAGTCGACTTCCCAAGGTCGACTTGACGACTACATAACGAAGTCAAGATGACGACTTGTAGTGACGTATTACCTCGCCAAGTCGACATTCCGAAACCGAGATGACTATTCATTTTGTCCACAGCTATTTTCTCACCAAGTCTACTAATTGAATACAAGATGACGACTTGGCGAGATATATTATCTCGCCAATAACTGATTAATTTTGAGATTTATTCAACATCTGGTGATAAACAATTATATTTTGTGGAGCAAGGTTAATGCCCCTAGGACCAAGGTTAATAGCACCTGGGAGTAAGGTTAATAGCACCCGAGGATGAGGTTGATGCCCTTGGGAACCTGGTTGAAGCCACTGGGAATGAGGTTGAAAATGACTTAAACACAAAAATAAACAAACTGGTCCAAAACTCGTTTTCCATCAATCATTTATTTATACTGAAAAGCTCTTATAAAATCAGATAAAGAAACGTCTCTTGTAACAATAAGCATTTCCAAGTTGTTTGCAGATTAATGTAAATATTGGGCCAAATTTATTCAAAAACGTAAGGCGACCCCCTTGCAATTTTTTTTTCAATTTTGGTCAAATAGAGTTGCTTGAAAAATGCAGGAAAAATGCCCACGGGTTCCTAAAACACATTCCTGTATGTACACATTTACGGGACAGATGTGCCATTCAAAAGAAATAATGCATACACATTTGGAACAAAATCAGTAAAAATTAATTTTTTTTTTTAAGAGAAAATTGTAAGGCTAACCCCTTGCATTTTTTTTGAACATTATTGGCCGAAAAATACAGTTTCTCAAAAATTGCGAAAAGGATGGCCAAGGGTCCCTAAACATCATCTTGAATAGTCTCTTGCAAAGCATACCTTCCAGAGCAATGTGGTGTTGAAAAAAATGTTCTGACCTGAACAATTGCAAGGTTACTTGCAATTTTTTCCTTTGTAATTTGGTTGAAAAGTTTTGAAAATTGTAAGAAAAACATCGTGCGGACCTGCATACACATTCCTAAAATGTGTGGTAAGCAGGTCAGCAAAAATATTATCAAAATATAATCAGCTACTACATGATAACATTGTATATAATAATTAAATGTATATATACAAGGAACTTAGGTGCTCATCAAATGAGGCTTAAAGCCAGAGTCCATCATTTGCAGCTATCAAAAAAGTAACTGGCGTAAATATTGTTGAAAAACAAACTTGGTTGAAAGATATAAGGGGACTAAACTCCCCGTAAAATTATTCTTTCTGGCAAGCTTTCATTTTGAAGAAATCAACAAAAAAAAAGGCCTTTCCAACGTGTTTCTTAAGAAGCACCGTAGGAAATTCAAATTAGTAGTTCGTTAAGTTATTCGGCGAAGCGCGCGCAAGCATTGGTACGACGCGACATCGCGTAGCTGCAATCGGCTCAGTGTGAACCTGTCTCGAAATATACAGCTGAAGCTGAGCTGAAACTTCATCAGGTTAGTTGTTCAGCTTTTTTTTTCTTTTTCTTTTTTTAGATCTTGAGCACTTTTGTTGCTTCAAACAAAACAAAGTGCACACATTGAAAAATGAAGGATTATACCTTTAAAATAAGTGCTCATAAAATACGCACTTTTGAAGTGGACATTATCAACGTATTACTGAACAGTCCAGTCAAACTGAAAGTTTATATGCTAAAGAGAAACTTCTTTAATATTCAAAATGCAAAGTTGGAAACCACGGATAAACCAGCCCACATTTTAATCAGGAAGCAATTACTTACAAAAGCATTCATGTTATTATGCATAGAAAATGACAAAATATGAGGATAATACACCATCCATTAAAAGCATCCAGCAAGTAATCTAGATCTTGTTTTCAATGCATTGATATAAAAAGTGTTAATATGCAAATAATCGTAGAATTAGGCAGGGAATATATTTCTTATACAAACTTTACATAGTTATGTGATGAATTTAAAGATATATGAATTTAAAGATATATAGTATAGTCAATATTAAAGTTTTGTGGTCCAAACTTCAGCTTCTTTCATTCCCTTTTTATATTTACATGATAACTGTGGAATAAAAATGCACCATTTCAAATCATTTTGAAATGTTATTGATCTAATGAATGTAAACTCAGCTATTTGGATGAATATATATACATTCTAACATCAGATGCCAAAGTTAGCTTGTGACCTCAGTCTAGCGGTAGATCATTGGATTGTAAGCAACACGACCCACTGTCCCATCATCATCCTGTGTGAATCAAAAACACGATCAAGGTATATCAAGAAATATATCGCTTCAATTAAGATTTGAAAGTTTGCAAAGTGAATCAGTGTGAGTTTTCGGCTGCACCATCCTATCAGAGTTTGTGTGGTTGTGGCTCTGAGATGAACTTGTGGAAACTCAACGTTTGGAGCAGATCAGAAATGAGAATAAACGTGGTGTGACAGCTGTGACTCAATTAGACCTAGCTGAGGGGGAGGGGTAGAAGCTCAACGTTTGGAGCAGATCAGAATGGGAATAAACGTGGAGGTGTGACAGCTGTTACTCAATTAGACCTAGCTGAGGGGGGGGGGGTAGAAGCTCAACGTTTGGAGCAGATCAGAATGGGAATAAACGTGGAGATGAAATAGCTGAGACTCAATTAGACCTAGCTGAGGGGGGGGGGGGGTGTGGAAACTCAATGTTTGGAGCAGATCAGAAATGAGAATAAACGTGGAGATGTGACAGCTGAGACTCAATTAGACCAAGCTGAGCAGGCGCGGTTCTAGAACCAATATTTTTGGGGGGCTAGCACGGTGGATCCAGAATTTTTTCAGTGACGGCGTGCTGAAATGTAGACCGGTTATTTTTTCCAGACACTTAGGCCTCCGAAAATCAATAGGTTTGGGGGGGGGGGGGGGGGGGCTTATGCCATATTTTTAATGGGGAGCGCCAATAAAATCCTAAAATCATTCACACTATATTAACTAATGCACCCTTGTCACGGCTATTTCTTCTTTAGGGGGAGACCGTTCGCATGTACATCACAATCCTTCTTTTTGCTAATGCAATTTTTTTTTACGGAATTTATTTGTGGGGGGCTAGACAAATTTTTTGGGGGGGGGGGGCTACAGCCCGCCCCCGCCCCCCCGTGGAGGTGTGACAGCTGTGACTCAAGAGACCAAGCTGGGGGGGGGGGGGGGGGTCGGAAGCTCAACGCTTGGAGCAGATCAGAAATGGGAATAAACGTGGAGGTGTGACAGCTGTGACTCAAGAGACCTAGCTGAGGGGAGGGGGGGGGGGGCGTGGAAGCTCAACGTGTGGAGCAGATCAGAAATGGGAATAAACGTGGAGGTGTGACAGCTGTGACTCAAGAGACCAAGCTGGGGGGGGGGGGTCGGAAGCTCAACGCTTGGAGCAGATCAGAAATGGGAATAAACGTGGAGGTGTGACAGCAGTGACTCAAGAGACCTAGCTGAGGGGAGGGGGGGTGGAAGCTCAACGCTTGGAGCAGATCAGAAATGGGAATAAACGTGGAGGTGTGACAGCTGTGACTCAAGAGACCTAGCTGGGGGTGGAAGCTCAACGTTTGGAGCAGATCAGAAATGAGAATAAACGTGGAGGTGTGACGGCTGTGACTCACGAGACCTAGCTGGGGGGGGGGGGGGGGTAGGGGATGCTAGGTTATAAATGAGGCATGTCAGTGTAGTGGATAGAAGCAGACAAGGAGAACACTGACATGATTTTATTTTATCTGTCACCTGCATACTGTCTGAAATCTTGAGTTGCCCCTAGTCCTTTCAGAAGCTCACATATACAAGAGAGATTTGTTATATTTGTTAAACTTACTCTTATTGCCCTCTTCGCCGTGGAAATCTTTAGATCTTATCTTATATGATTTATATCTGTGTATTTCTACATTGATAATATCTTCATATCAACTCACCCTCGGATCATCCAAATGTTGGTCATCCTGATCGAATTCCTCCGTTCCGGTCACGATATACGGTCTGATGAAATCAGGTCTGCTTGACAAACCCTGACAACACCAAAAAAAGAACAAAATTCATGCATTATTTTTCCCCGAGAGTAAATGAGTGGTCAGACTCTATCTCATGAGTTGTGCCTATCACAAGTCAGACAAGAATTAAAGGGAATGACAAATGACAAAGAAATGTGACTTAACTTGGGACAGGAGGACTTCTGATTGACTTGTGCACATATTTAAAGGAAGCGTGATCTTGTTACGTCTTACGAATAACCAAGGAAAACTCTTACCTCCAATTTGCCACTCGTGAACAAAAAAACCCCGAACATGCCCTGGATGGCACATGCACAACAACGTACAAGTTGAAGTAAGAAATCCACGATGGGTTTTGAATATACATGTAGCACAATTCCTTGAAAACTTTCTCAGTACTCTGTCTTGTACTTGATTCATTCAAAGGTCCTCACAAGTCCATCAAAAGTCAATCACAAGCCATGAGTCTCCAGTCAAGTCACAAACTATTGTGGATGGACTTGTGACGGCCTTGTTATTGACTGTGATGGACTTGTGATGGACTTGTGATGGACTTGTGATGGTCTTGTGATGGACTTGTGATGGTCTTGTGATGGTCTTGTGATTCAATTCAATTCAATTCAATTTATTTATTCGTCATGCCAGCATGAAATTTTCCTTCTCGCTTTGCACATAAAATTTCAAATACCTACAATACAGAAAATTAAATATATAAACATACAGTATACACGTTAAAACATTCAATGAAAAGGCAAAAAATAAATTAAATAATAAACGAGTTCCTCAAAAACACTGTAAAACCCTAAAAACACACACATGGACCACATTGAACAGGCTGCCTATGGGACAAGGAAAGGTATGCTGGAGGAAAGATAGGGATAAATAGCAAGGAGGAAAGAAAGAAAAAAAGAAGACTTGCACACACGCACACAAAGGGACATGGAGAAACAAGGGGTTGATAACGGAAGGAACGATGAAAGGCACGAGTAAGGAGGGGGTAGAAGTGAATGGATTGGGACAAAAATGAGATAAGAGGGAAAGGAAAAAATAAGGGGGGGGATTGGCAAGGAAGGCAACTGGAAATGAACATACTGTGTAATGACAAGCTTAAAACTATAATGATAGACTTGTGATGGTCTTGTGATAGACTTGCGATGGACTTGCGATGGAATTGTAATGGTCTTGTGATTGACTTGTGATGATCTTGTGATGGTCTTGTGATGGTCTCGTGAAGGGCACCAGTAAGGAGGGGGTAGAAGTGAATGGATTGGGACAAAAATGAGATAAGAGGGAAAGGAAAAAATAAGGGGGGGGGGAAATGGCAAGGAAGGCAACTGGAAATGAAAATACTGTGTAATGACAAGCTTAAAACTATAATGATAGACTTGTGATGGTCTTGTGATAGACTTGTGATGGTCTTGTGATGGACTTGTGATGGTCTTGTGATGGTCTTGTGATTCAATTCAATTCAATTCAATTTATTTATTCGTCATGCCAGCATGAAATTGTCCTTCTCGCTTTGCACATAAAATTTCAAATACCTACAATACAGAAAATTAAATATATAAACATACAGTATACACGTTAAAACATTCAATGAAAAGGCAATAAATAAATTAAATAATAAACGAGTTCCTCAAAAACACTGTAGAACCCTAAAAACACACACATGGACCACATTGAACAGGCTGCCTATGGGACAAGGAAAGGTATGCTGGAGGAAAGATAGGGATAAATAGCAAGGAGGAAAGGAAGAAAAAAAGAAGACTTGCACACACGCACACAAAGGGACATGGAGAAAGAAGGGGTTGATAATGGAAGGAACGATGAAGGGCACGAGTAAGGAGGGGGTAGAAGTGAATGGATTGGGACAAAAATGAGATAAGAGGGAAAGGAAAAAATACGGGGGGGGGGGAAATGGCAAGGAAGGCAACTGGAAATGAACATACTGTGTAATGACAAGCTTAAAACTATAATGATAGACTTGTGATGGTCCTGTGATAGACTTGCGATGGACTTGCGATGGAATTGTAATGGTCTTGTGATTGACTTGTGATGATCTTGTGATGGTCTTGTGATGGTCTCGTGAAGGACTTCCCTTACCAAACTAGACTGCTATAATAGCATGTGCATAGCAGTTCAATAGCATTTAAACAGCATGTGCATGCTATTATAGCATCCACATAGCATTCACAGAAAACGATGACTGGATGACTGCTAACTTTAGCAGTCCATATAGCATTCTCAATAGCATGCAGAATGAAAATAGCATTCAAAATAGCATGCGAGCTTCAAAGCATTCTGCAAAGCATGCAAGTGAAAGAGGGAGGACTGCAAATTGAGTACAGCATTCCAATTTAGCAGTCAATTGTAAAATAATTTTAAAGTATAGCATTCCGTGGCTAAACATAGCCTGCACAATAGCATTTCAATATATAAGCCAATCATATCATGGACTACAAGTCACATGATCAGTGATGGCCTTGTGCATTCCACAGATTAACAGTCAGTGTGGGAAATTTGAAAACTGCAGTCAGTTGAATATTGTCAGTGCAGAGTGCAGTATAGGCTGCACATAGTTTTGCAAGAAATTGTAGAAAGCATGGACATTACCTTATGGCATGAATGCTTGTGGATATAATTTCATGTTCACATGCATGCACTCAACCTGTACATTGTTGTACATGTACATGACAAAATACACTGGATGACTGGCTGAAAGTCTTTGGAATTGACAACTTAAAAGCAACAGTTGAACCAAGCAATATGGAGCCTCCATACACATGTATGCAACACACTCACAAACTGCTTGTATTTGGTAAGTCTACAGTTTGTACTACCAATGGGTCTATATTCCTACATGGTGGGTATTCAGTTTTTGGCTAGATAAAGACAATTTTATTCTGGCTTTGAGTATGTTAGTGTTCATGGTGTATGTGATGTTGAACATTCCTTCATCCAATTGATTGAATTTTTGAATCAGCTGGATATCGGATGATAACTGTTTTAAATTGTGATGCCAACTGGCATAAAAGTTACTACTGGTTGCTTCAAAGATAATTCAAATTATAAGCAGAGAATTGTTGCATTAAATTTCTGGCCATTGCTTTTATAAGCATGACAATGTTATGGACAAAAACAAAGAGTGTCCCCATGTTTGTACAGCAATTCTGAGGCTGATAAAGTCTTAAAGATCAATTTTCTTATTTCATATATTTTGATCACAGTCTGTATACATAGGTCTATTAAATTTCAAAATGGTGTCAGCTGTGTTAAATATGGTTCAATACATGAAATTATTAAAGCTGATATAACACAAGTAATTTTTGGTATAAATTGTGACATTGAAAATGTATGTTGTAGGATGCCCGTGTCCATGTCACGATATAGCAGTCATGATAGCATTCACATAGCATGCAAGCATGCGAATGCTATTCTCATAGCATGCGAATGCTATTCTCATAGCATGCGAATGCTATTCTCATAGCATGTGAATGCCTAAATAGCATTCACGTTTGCATGCCTAAATAGCATTCTCCATAGCATGCGAATGCTATAGCTCATTTACATAATTCGGGCTTCTGACATGCTATAAAACTGCTATCTGATTGCTATCCTCAAGGAATGCTATGAAAAATGCTTTAGGAAGTACAGACATGGCTTTTTGTGAATGTTATCAATTGGCAGTTCTCATAGCATTCGCATGTTAATTGCATGCTAAAGGAATGCTAAATGACTGCAGTCAAGTTTGGTAAGGGTTGTGATGGACTTGTGATGGTCTTATGATGGTCTTGTGATGGACTTGTGATGGACTTGCGATTGACTTGCGATGGAATTGTGATGGTCTTGTGATGGACTTGTGAAGGACTTGTGATGAACTTGTGATGGACTTGCGATGGACTTGTGGTGGTCTTGTGATGGACTTGTTATGGTTTTGTGATGGACTTGTGATGGACTTATACATGTGATGGTCTTGTGATGGTCTCAACACAACTGTGTCAGTACTGTAATCTTACCTGCTGTAAGTACGATGAACGACTCATAACATTCATCAGGCGATCCATTCGAATCTCCTCATCTCGAATTGCTGATGTATCATGGCCGTTATCTTGGTAATAACTCTGATCTGTGTATTCAGACAGACCATAATTGATCCTCGGATTGTCAGGTTTTTGCCGGCCGTGAGTAGATTCGATATTACGACGTCGTATCAGAAGACAGAGGCACAGAGGTATCACTACTACTGTCAGGAAGAGAACAACGCATGCAACAATGATGATGACGATTACTGCAGTTGATATGCCACCTGGAATAAAAGAAAGATTGGATTACACTAAGGCCAGACAAAAAAGGCTTCGGTTTTTGGTATGGAGCTTGCCCCAAAGTGGTGCGGCGACGCAGGTTTTTTTTCTCCCTACTTTTTTCTTCTTCAAATGTCGGCTGATATTGCAGATGACGCTTCGTTCCCCTTAATTTTGTCTCTCAAAAATATCATTCAGAGTGGAGCTTGAGGTGACTTTAGTAAGGCCAAGGCTTGAGAATTCTGCACCCACTTACGATCTCGACCGACACGAACATTCTTCCCAAAGACTAATGTGACTGTGGCCAAGTGATTGGGACATGGCTTAGGAGTCTGGAGTCTAAGACTGAGTCTGAATTACTTGGCTGTGGCTTGCAATTACACATGCGTCTATGATAGCAGCCATAGCCACTTCCTAGAGTCGCCTGGGTGACTGCCAGCCATAACCATGTAATTCAGAAGCAGCCTGAGGCGATTTTTACCTGGTGACTTTGTTGTTGTCGCTGTTGCAACATCAGTGGGGACTGGAATGACTGTTTCGCAGCGTTCGCCGGTGAATGAAGTCCCACAACTAAATTATGAAAACAACAAATATCAGTGCTTAAGATGAGCAGATAAACTTTACAACAGATGGGACAGAAGTAGATTTCTTTTATTACTCTAAATATCAGAAGATCAAACATCCAACGTTCAAACAAAGACTTTTCAACGCTGTTGCTGATACACTTACAATGAATTTAATTACCACATTCAATCATATTTCAAACTGGCTGATCAGGGTAGTAAGGCTCAATTACTTATGACACAGGTTGATTAAGCACCTGTATTGCTTGATAAGTCATGATCATTGTAGATTACCTGCAGGTATAGGTGAACATAGACACGTAGTACCCTGACTTCAAGCACATTGCACCATTCTGACAATAGTCTGGCGGACAATCTGTTACTTCTGAAAATATTCAGAAAATATTTCGTCTGAGAAAGTTGATCATCAGCTGCTTACTAAAAGGCTCATGTAATGAAGCATCCTTCCCTTGTACGAAGACAACTTCTTCTGATGGTTTTAGGTTTGTCCAAAATTCACACAAAAACAAACAAACAAACAAAACCCCCGACTTTAGTGGTACTTTGCCAGGCATAAATGAATAGTAAATTGACTGATTGTTATGGTATTGTCATCAAATATTTCTTAACTTATTGGTGCTCAAGACTCTCTTATATTAAACCAATAGAAATGAAACCTTACCATTGACTCGAAGTGCTAGTGGGTCAGTGGTTATTGCTACGTCTCCATCGGTCAACGGTCTGTTTTCTAACAAGACTCTTTGTACATCAGTTGTTGATGGCGCAGCTGGGTACCGTAATACCATGGTAGCAACAACACTTCCGTTTTGGATTGAAACACAGTCTGCGGATATCACATCATTGGTTACTGGGTCCTCTCGCAATCGCCTTTCAACCTGATTGAAATGGCATGAATGACAAGCCTCAAGTTATTAAATTCATTATGTGAACTTTGACCAGGGTTATAACTGAGTCAAAGGCACGTGTAGAAATGAACAATGACAAAATTGTAGCTGAATTGAATTGTCTGTGACGTAACTTGGGACAGGAGGACTAGTTATCGATTCAATTCAACTCTGTGAATGATTATGTTCTTTATTGTATACTGTCCGACCCATTGAAAACAGCAACTTACCAGTCGTTTATAAAGGGCTGCTTTGGCTCTGAATGCAGAAGACCACGGATTGATGTACACTGACCGGTATGTCTCTGTCAACAATGTTATCACCACAGTAAGAGCAAACCTTCGTCTGTCTGAAAAATAAAGTACAACATGGTTAGATAACGGAGAATCAGGTTGTGTTGTAGTCGAGGAACTTGCGACAGGTCACAAGTATCTTCACATCAGGGAAAAACAATAACAAAGGAACGTCCTTGTCACAGTCCATTTGAATCAGCTTGTGACTTGACTGGATGACTTGTGTTCTCACTTTTGACAGACTTGTGGTGACTTAGCTAAATCAATGGGAATGATCCAACAGTTGACTTTAAAAAACCTTCATCAATGAGATGTTAAAAAAATTAGTTTAAAACTAGATTTTTTTAAAGACAGCCAGACGTTGAGTTCAGTGTGTTTTACTTCACAAGCTTGCCCTTACTTTCGCATGCGGCTCCTTCCATGAAATATGCATCGTATGTGCGACACTCGCATGTGAACGCAGTATTTGATGGGACACAGTAATGCCCTGTTGTATTATCCGAGCACCGGTCACTGGTCAAACACACATTCGAATCTAAAAAAAGGAATGCGAAACATGTTATCTAAAGAACAATCAAGCTCTCATCTGTGTCCTTGCTTTTAAATTTAGTAATATTTACGCTGTGCTGAAACTACAGCAGGTTATCTGTCTGCCAATAATTATCTAGGGATATTGGATTATTTTGACAGATATATTAATCGGACCCCTTTTACTTTGACTTTGTAATTACTTACTGTTGAGTACCATGGTATAAAACAGTGGATGTGGTATTTCCTCCCAATCAAACACCTGGTAATATACAAAATTTGCTTTTGCTGCCTTTTAAGAAATGGACAACTTGGGGCAATTTTTTGGTCCAAAAAGCTTTTTTTTTTGGGGGGGGGACAATTTTGACGTTGGTGGCGCCACTTACACCCCTATTATACTATTCAAAAATAGGCCACATACATATCACCAAGGTCAAATTGTCAGTCAAAAAAGTGCCCCCCCAAAAAAAAAAAAAACCACTGGGTGCGCCACTGAATTGGGGATTAGCATTTTATAGCAAATATCGTTTCACTGATTTTTAAAGTTTGTGTTCATGGATGCTGGAAAGAACAACAACAAAGTTCTCGTAGTGTGGTTACCTGCTTCCCTGACCTAATGCCTCAGACGAAATGGAACAATTTACAGAGGTCAAGGGATTGTCAGGTCAGGGAACCAGAGTAGCTGGCAATGTGCCCATTCAAGTATGCCGATTGCAAACAAAACGGAGATTAATTGAATTCGGTCAACTGGGGCCAGTATTTGAATTAATATTTTTCCAATGATGGTATGGTCGAACCATTGTTGGAATATGATACAAAAATCTTGAAAACTACAGGCACACTGATTTCACAGGATGCTAGAGACTATTATTCGCTTACAGTTAAGTCAGGTATTTGATAATAATTTGTCAGTTTTTATTCTAATTCATGATTGCAAATGGTGTACATTGTCTTTAAACATGCAAAATACAACATAAGTCTTTTACTGATGTTCGTATGAACTAAATAAATGTAAAATAGCACCAGTTGTAATAAATTCACAAAATCCATCTAAACTAATTTCATTTGACAGTTGTACAAAAACCCATAATTACCTTGACACAGATCCCCGCTGTGAGTCAGAGGACAAACACACTCACAATACTCTTCGTCTAAAGTGCCTCCGTTCAGACAGCTAGCTGTTGTCAGTGGACATTCTAACAAACATACAAATCAATGATCTTAATTGAAATCTTACTTAAAGAAATACGTGTAAGTCACTGAGTGGAGTTTTTGAAGGGAGTGTTTCCAATTGAACAAATATTCCTTTCACTTTTTGACTTTCAATTTGGAGCATACATACAGTGTTCTCAAGGTACTCCCAGCTTCAACAATGTGTACGTTATAGACTTACAATAGAATAACTCTTGTACAGCGCATTGGGACCTTGTGTGAAGTGCGCATTGTAAGCACGGTTTATTATTATTATGCTTATTATTATTAAAAATATATGTTCAGACTGGGTTTCACCTTGTGTGCTTTGCGCCCCTTGGGTGTAACAAAATCATATCTTACATCACAGTAGTCAGCAATTCTTAAATGAAAATTTGATTTGGGGAGAATGCAAAATCAATCAGGCGGCAACTCAAGGTTTACCTGAAGGGTTTCTTGGTCATTGGCACAACTCGATTTCTTAATGCCTACCTGTGCAATTGTTTCCAGTCCATGATGAGCTGCACCTGCACTGACAAGAATCTGGATCTCTGGTTGCACCGTTCCCACAAGTTATCGAGCACTCTGCAAAACAAAAAATTGAGCTGAGTAATTTCAGATATGTATATATCGCCATGGTGATCTGTCTGGAAGAGATAAAATTCAACATTAGGTAAAAACTGCCTAATAAACTTAGTGAAATGCTGAACACGATGACAGGTGGTTCATCTCGTACCCCCACCATCAGGGCTACGATTTGGGGTAAATTTACAAAAGAAATCCACAAGAAAATATTTGGCAGAGGGTTTAGATGCCATCGAAGCCCCAGATCAACTCAGGGTCTACGGTATACATTATTTTCCTTAAAAAGGCACTCCTAAACAATGTCCTTTATTTTTTTTATATAAAAAAAACAATTTGAAAAAAAAAGAAATAAGAATTCTCACTTAGGTTTTACTTAATTCAGAAATTATTTTCATGTAGGTTTTTTTTTAATTCAGAATTCCTAAAATCTACAGAATCTGGATAAATCTCACTCCTGCTCATTCACCAATCTCTGATGACCTGTAACTGCTATCAAATGATTACTTACTGATTGTAGTCTTCGGGATTTCTAGAACATCAAAGTATTGATATAACTGGTTTTTGGCATACCTGTGCAAGTATCTCCAGTCCATGGTGGGCTGCACACACACTGGCAAGTAGCTGGATCTGTAGTTCCTCCATTTATGCAAGTTAACGAACACTCTAGACAAGACAATCAAAATGAATGTTGTTGAGATATGCATGGCACAACAATTAATTCTCCCTGAAGCAGTTGACAATCAACTCTTTGAAGAAGCTGGGTACTCCCAGCTTCAACAGTCCGTGTGTTACAGACTTATGCAATCGGACTCGGCTTCGCCTCAGGTGCTATGTGCCCCTCGTGTGTCAAAAAGCCACATCCCACTGTCAACAATTGTTAAATGATTATTATTAGGCCAAAAAAAAAAAAAGTCGGTCTCTGGTCAGCGCGCGCGTCGATTTTAATCATGCGCGTCGATCTTTTAAAAAAATTTCCAAAAATGTTCCTCGGTAGCTCAAACAGCGCCCTCTATTTCCGCACCTCCTCAAGTTTGTTTACCAAAGAGCACCAAGGAATGGCAAATTGCACCAAGGCAAATGATCGAAAGCACCAAGGCAAATTATGGAGGACACCAATGTACATGAGGACACCAAAAAAGCAAAATAGTACCCCACCTTGTTCCAAGCTTGAAGAAAAAAGAAAAAAAAGCCGCGTGGCCGCGTCAATTCCGGAACTTTGGTCTGACCAGAGACCGATTTTTTTTTTTTTTTTGGCCTTAGTGGAGAAGGCGAAATCAATCAGGCGGCAACTCAAGGTTTACCTGGAGGTTTTACAGGTCTTCCATGTCATCACAGCATTGACACAACTCGTTTCTTAATGCCTACCTGTGCAAGTATCTCCAGCCCATGGTGAGCTGCACATGCACTGACAAGAATCTGGATCTCTGGTGGCACCGTTTATACAAGTTGAAGAACACTCTGATAAAAAAAAAACCCAACAAATTGAGATAAATACTGTAAGATATGTGTGGCACTGCGATGAACTGTTTGGAAGAGGTTTGAATTCAATTAGGGCTGTGTTCGAGTAGCTCACTCGGATCAACTCGGGTAAAAGCAGACGGATTAGCCACGAAAGCTGTGCCAATCGAAGGTGGGACATCATGATTCCCACGTGATGTCCATAGCCTCGATCGTAGCCATTGACACACGCCCTTTTGGGGCTGAGTCTTACCATTCCCTCCCCCATGGCCTTACTGTTAGATTTACTACCTCTCTGTCAATCGCAAAAAGTCACAAAGTCGGGCTGGAATTAGCCTACCTGTGCAAGTATCTCCAGTCCATGGTGGGCTGCACACACACTGGCAAGTAGCTGGATCTCTAGTTCCGCCATTCATACATGTTAACGAACACTCTAGACAACACAATCAAAATGCACGTTGTTGAGATATGCATGGCACAACAATCATCTCTCTGAAGAAGTTTGAAGTATGAATCCAATATTGACTTTTTGCTTGCGTTGGTGGGATGCAAAACATAACGACAGTTATTAATTTCAATTTAATTGCACCAACCACACACGTTGGCTTTTGGGTATTCCTGTCAAATTTAAGGTTACGCTTTGTTAACAAACTTAAGACTGTAACTTCATTTATTGAAAAATAAAGCTATTGCAATACTAACCGTCCTACAGAAATTAATCAAAATCTGCACCTCAAACTGCTTCCTTATTCCTTGGGGATTACCATGGCTATATGAAAACCACATCTGTGCCACATTCACAGAAACTTTGCACGACAATTCCCTAAAATTATCTCCCATTCATTTCAACTGTAAAGTTCCAGCATCCATACCAATTTTGGACAAAACTTTCTGCATAATAATAAACCCCATTTTAAACAATGTAAAACTCAAAATGCAGGGACCAACAAAATGTTTAAAAATAAAAAAACCGATGAAGATGAATATCAACTTGTTGAAAATGAGACAAATATTCTTACCGTTTTCACAGTTTTCGCCCATGAATCCGTCACCACACATACACGTATAGCCTCTTGCATTTACAAACTCATTGACACATGTTGCTGCATTCATGCAGTCATTGCTAAGCTCACAGGGAACTACAAGGAAGACAAATTAGAAAAAAAATATGCAAGACATACTTCAAACAAGCCTAATTTTCCTGCTACATGTATGTTCATAGAGATATTTGATAAATGCATCTTCATTGTGCAACCTCATGCCTTTGTAACTTTTGTATTACCTCTTTAATCAAAATCTGTATAAAACAGTATTACAGAATGCCTCTTAACCACAAAGATGTTATAATAACATTTAGAGTGTTACCAAAAGTTAGACATCCACACAATTGCAGGTTTGTGGCTTGCCTGGTGGAAGGGGAGGGTCAATTTTACCATTAAGTGGTCTTTTCATGTCCAAGAAACAGTTGATTATGCATGGAAATACACATTTGGGTAAATTAAACACGAATGTCAATCGCAAGGGGGGGGGGGGGGTCGTCCAACCCCCTGACCATCCCCCGTCAACTGGTCAGAGTCAATATATGTACCACTGGGACACAGACAATCTCTTGCTCGTCCAAATTTCCACTATTGAAGATTACACTGACCTTCAATGATCAGTACCATATTAAAATGTCTTGAATTAAAAGCTAGCTACAAGTTTTGATCAACTGGCCTTGCTCAGCCAGTGAAGGTTTTGCACAGCTGTCTACATTATACTGTTGATTTGAGGTACGTTACCTATCATTTGACACTGAGGTCCAGAGTAACCCAGAGCACATTCACACATATAGCCCGTCATTGTAGTTGAAACGACACGACATGTTCCGTCGTTCATACAGGGGTTGTTGCCACATGGTGCTGTAGGACAAACACAGAACGATATGGAAATGGGTTGAACTAGTATAAATGATTTAAAATGAAAAAAGAATAGCAGGATATCAGTTTGCAGTTCAAAAAATATTTTATTTCTTATCATTCTTTCCTGTAATAAAACCAAAGATTTTCCAAAAACTGTACAAGTGCTACATCTTGGAAGCTGTATGAAGCGTCAAGGGAGAAAATGATGCAGAATGTACAGAGGAGGGAGGAAAACCCTTGAAGCATATTCCCAGGGAAAGCCCTCGGAATCAGGTTAAATCCAATCAATCACCCAATCATTCCAACTGCAGCCTGGACGGGATGTGAGCCCAGACCATAAGGGTGAAAAGCAATGTATCCCTGCGCCAACCCAACTGTGGAGGGCTGTGGTCCAATGGTTACGGTGTTCGACTCACGTGCCGTGGTACGTGAGTTCGAACACTGATGGGGAACATGATGCTCGTGTTCTTGAGCAAGGCACTTTACTACAATTGCCTCTCTCTACCCAGGAGTATAAATGGGTACCTGTAATGGTAGAAACCAGAATGCGCTGATCTCAAGCTGCTGCAAAAACTGGTTTCATGGCCGGATGAACATGGGCAATAATTGTGAAGTCTTTTGAGCCCTTTGCAATTTGTATAAAGCGTTATCTAAGCACTACATCAGTATTATTATTAACTCCTTAACATGAATGATACGAAAAAGAAATGTTCAGACCATTGAGTATTGAAGTACAGTCTTTATTAATGTGGGTCTAGAAATTGGATGGCTTTATGTCAAGTTTGTCTATTTTCAGTTTCTGTACACCACTCCTGCCTGTTTTAGAAATGGCCCCTAAAGGCCTGTTAACACTACACGCAGAAGCAAAAAGTGAAGCGAATTTCAAGATGTCAACAATTAGATTTTCATTGTGGGTTTGTCGTTACCTTAATGAATTCGCTTTGCACTGAAAGTCATGTTAAGTGTGAACCAGCCTTCAGAAGGAATGATTTTGGCTTTAACAGCCATTTTATTACTGACTATTTACAATTCTTACCAATTTCACAGTTTTTTCCACTATAGCCTGGCAGACAGGTGCATGTATATCCCTCGGGTAATACCGAGTTGTCATCAGCACAAGTTCCACCGTTGGTACATGGTGAGCTGTTACATTCTGAAAGCAGTACACATTCAATCAATTCATTAATAATCAAAGAGAGTACATTACATATACACAGTGTCTACCGGTGTAATGTACAATTGGATTCATCAAAACCTGCCTACCTAATAATCCGTTCAGTGATGTGGACTTCATTACACAGTAATCATTCAATCTGGACATATCTTGAATGTATTTTGAACATGTATATACTTCATTTATATACTTCAAGTGTAGGAATTGCATTCGGCATATAGGACAGCGTGCCCTTACTTTAGCTCTCAAAAGCATACAACACAGTACAATCTACATTTTCTGCAGCATTTTATTCTTCTATTCTTATTTTGTCATAATTACAGGTCTCTCGCAAATGACGTAATTTCATACAGACCAACCACTTGTATCGGCATTTTGAGCGTCAACTTGCATAACGCGCAACGGCTGCGTCGTATTTCGAACACATTTTGAGCAACAAGCGCGGGTGTTTGGAACATTCTCAACACTTCGCAATGCGTGCTTGATTGCGAAAAATACACAGTTGCAGTTCTTTTACAGAGATGGCCGTCTTTTAGAGAGACCTGTTAGGAAACACGGTCCTTTCCTACTTACTTGGATCCCCGATGATGAATGTTGAGCCGACCAGCCTATGGTCTGGAGCCAACTGACCTCCACTGCTCCCTGTCAACTGACTCAGGAAGGGCTGGATGATGGTCTGCTCTGGCTGAGACATGTTGAGATTGATGACCAATCTCAACAAGGCCGTGGAGTCAGTGAGGAGTGATATCTCAGAGATGACGACATCGCCCAAGTTATCAGACAAATCCGAGGACCGGAAAGCAGCTTCAATCTTAACATGGAAATCAAATTAGCAAAATATGACGATTGTTAAAAAAAGTGTGTGAATGAAATGGAGCTCTCTAGATGTCAGTGACATTCTTGTGAGATTCTGTTTAATACCTTGTAAAAATGTAAGGCTTAATTGGGCAAGTCTCTGCATAGGGTGGGCAAGTTGGAGGATGCATCAATTCAATGCTAGAGTGTTCATGGCTTGTCTGAGAATTGCTTTGGTTATAATGAAGAATCATAACAACTGACTTAAGATGAAAACATTGACAATCCTACAATCCAACTGCAGTCATTTGAAGTGTTAAACATATTAATTGTATTTTTTTTTTACATGTTACAGCATAGCATTGACCAACACTTATTATCTGAAAAAAATCCATAAAATCTTTCTTATCTAAATTACCATTTCATAAAAGATAAAGATTGTCCCCTACCAAAGATCAGAAATACCAATTAAAACTAACAAGCAAAACACGATGATTACAAGCAGATACACAGGAGCATCACTGAAAAGGAAGAGACAATTTGAAGTGGACAGAAATGTTTGTCTCAACAGTGAAATGTTCCATCCACCCTGCATACATACCGCATCTTTTAACTCTGTTCTGTATTTCAAGTAGTTGGTGACAAGATTAAAGCCGTTCCCACCAACCAAATCCCCACTGATGATATTAAACACAGCCGACGCATTGTATGAGACACCACCTGCCAAAATGATAATAACTTTTCAACATTATTCACTTTGATGGACACAAAGATTCTCTGTAAGGACACGAGAACATATGAACCAAAATTGACGACGTTATGTTTCATGTTTATTAACATATCAATGTTATACTTGAGATGGCAGTGAGACTTACTAAGACATTCTGAGTTTTGCAGATAGAATCCCATTCTACATGGACAGTCATAGCTGCCGTGTAGATTGACACACTCCGTATTGGCTCTTGACACACATGCAGCCGGATCCTCACATTCATTCATATCTACAAAAACACCACACAGATATCAAGCAACACATGTACATAAAAACATCTATTTCAATTAAGAAAAGATGAAGACTTTCTTATTGTTTTCTACGGACTGTTAAATGTACATTATCGGAAAAGAGTGTATCTTGGTCTAATCCCAAAACTACGAGATAGTGGTTGGCAGTTAAATCTGACTGATTCTGGGGTATGGCCAAATAATTTAAAGGTTCTTGTAGCCTACTGTCCTCAGCTGTCCCAAGCTCAGAATATATGATATATGATTTGATTGATTCATCGGGAAAGTAATACAGTGTTATACGATGTGGAACAATGTAATGCAGTGTCATACAATATAATACACTGTAATACAATGTAATGTAATGTAATACAATGTAATACAAAAATATAATGTAATACGATTTAATGTAATGTAATACAATGTAATGCAATGTAATCCCATGTATACAATGTACAATGTAGTACAAGTATTATTGGTTAAATAACATCAATGTAATTGATATGTTTGGTTGTCTTACCGATACACTGATTCATGTCATCCTTTACAAATCCAAGCAGACAATTGCATATGTAACTACCATCATCAGTGTTGTTGCATTGACTCACTGATGGATCACATGAATCCAGATTCAGAGAACACTCATCGATGTCTGGAAATTAAAGGAATCCACTAGAATTAGTGACCAATTTAAGAGTGGGAATATATTTAACTAGAAGAAAAACTAATCCACTTTTTGTGATCCAGGCTAAAGAAAACAACTGGAACATCGTCAAATTTGTCTTGTAAATGTACATGCACTCAATTTTACAAAGTCAAGAATAAAGGAGATAATTCAACAGACAAAAAAAAAGGTGAGAACTACAAAAGATGAGAAACAGTGTTGTGATTTACCGTCACATTGACGTCCTGGTAGCATTCCTGGAGCAGACACGTATCCATTCATGCAGGTACATGTATAACTACCATCGTTGTTGACACAGTGAGCTCTGCCTGAAGCACAGTCATGGCTTTCCGTCATGCATTCGTCAACATCTAAATGCGAGCAAAAATGAATTCAAACAGAAGTGTAACTTTTGGTTGTGAAGGCATATATTACTACTGAAGATAGGCCCGTACAAATTTGCTATTTATCGAAATTTTTCAGGATGAGATATAAAACACTTTAAAATCCACTTTTTAAGAATTCTTACATTATTGTACCTCTAGTTTTTGAATACTTGTAATACTTTGCGTAGAAATGTTTTGTAATGAATGAACATGGTAATACTAGTGAAGAGTTACAGAAAACCACTTAATTTGCTATAATACGATCTGCTAAGGCAAGTTCATACTCAATACAAATGTGAACGCAAATTTGTGTGGTCACTGCAAGTATTCGCGCTGCGACATCACAAATATTGAGCACATTTCAACTCCAGTGGAGTTTGCAGAGAATGGTTCATGACGTCAATGTTTTTTTTTTTGGCATTCGCATTTGAGTGAAGTATGAACTGGCCGTTTAAAGATGTGTTTGTCTGTCTGTTGGTCGGTCTCTCAGGCTGTTTATTCAACTGTTCCCATATATGTTGGCAATTCTCTCTTCAATCTTTTCAGTGGTTCCGATGTGTTGTCATTGTTTCAATGCATTGTGATATATGTAAGGCATACATTACGATCATTCTTTCATCTAATATGATGTCTTCAATGTAGAGTAGACTATATTTTCTCATTGGTGCATTGGTCAAAATTTAAAGACGGGTGTCAATGAAACAACTGATCAAGCTTTAGCACTGTTAATGCTGTACATTATGAGGAAACACAATATTCTGGATCTGGATTTAATTCAAAAGTTGCAAGTCATGACACAATCCCGAAATCAGCATTCAGGACATGAATCTCATTCAGTCGATTGCTGATGTTGCACACTGAATTTTTGGATAGATGCAAATGGTTTACTCATTTTTTTTTTTTATAATGGAAGCGTATATTTTTGAAGTTGCAAACTTGAAAACCTATGATAGAGGTAAGCAACTAACCTTCACAGTATGTTCCGTTGCCTTGGTAACCAGAGTCACAATTACACTGGTAACTCCCTTCGGTGTCGCTACACGTTGCTAAGGAGTGACACATATCTGGGTCCTCCAAACATTCATCGATGTTCATACACAAGACACGTCCATCGCCATGGAAACCAGTGTTACAATGACAGGTGTAACTACCAGCGTTGTCCAGGCATGTACTGTTGGCTACACATAAGTGTCCACTCTGACACTCGTCAATATCTGTAACAATAACAAATAAACATGTAATCACTCTCAAGGGATAATTGTAAACTCATTTGTGGTGAAACACGTCTTGCAAGGGGAGATTCCCAATTCACCAAAGGACTGTAAGATTGGTAATAATGCTAGACTACTGCTTTAATGGAGAGATGGTTCCAAAAATGATGAGTCTCTTTTTTGCCAGGTGAAGTAAATAAACACTCTCTGAAAGTACAACATGCAAAGTCTGTATTGTCATTTAAATAGTTACTTTCCATTCATTTTTTCAGATCTTTGTTTTATTTTACGCCTTTTCGGTGTTTTACTGGACTTCGAGAAGAAAGCAGATGTGCACCATAAATACAAGATCAGAAAGGAAAATCTAGTTCAGGGCTAAGGGCCATCAGAATTTTGCTGTGTGAAACAGTTTTACTATTGACCGCTGAGTGTTCTATCTATACCTACTTTGACAGTGTGTCCCATTGCCTTCATATCCTGATTTGCAACGACAGTCATATGTGCCATGGTTGTTGTAGCACTTTGCGGTAGCAATACAAACAGGGTACAATGGATCATCCACAGGAAGTGTACACTCATCAATATCTGAGGACAAATGTCAACCAAATCAAGAAAGCGAATGATGCGTTGAGTGTCTTTTCCAGTCTGCTAGGATTACAACGTTTCAGGGCTTAATTAGCCAATCTTGAATAAAATTCTCAACTTTGTAACGGTATAATAAGTGTAGAAAGGGAGTTTGTTGTTTAATAAAAAGTAACAAATGACAGCTTAATTTAACTGGTGATTTTGGTTGCATAGAAATGAAATCTATATGAATTACCAAACAAACCCACTCAGAAAAAAACCCAGAATAAGTTTTGATTCAAACTGAAAAGACTACTCGTAAAGAAATGGTAGATTACCTAGACAATCCCGCTGGTCATTGCCTTGCCTAAAGCCTTCTGAACACAAACACTCAAAACCACCGGCCGTGTTGTTACAGGTTGAGGAGGGGCCACAATAACTCTCAGTAGCATTACACTCGTTAATATCTGAAATAACAAAACAAAAACAAACAATTTTTTTTTAAACACAAATTTAAGAAATGAAATATTCTAAAAATACAAATAATTTGCAAATGATGAAGGTTTCACTCTGTCATGATGAGAATCTCAAATGGTAATGTAAAGAACTCTTTGAAGCATGCATTATCCATGACAAGGTGACATTCTGCAAGTATAAACCTATAGCTGTAATGTACCCGAAGGCCCTGTGATGTATTCATTCTCACCTTCACACACCATTGGATCAGACGCGTTTTGGTAACCACGGTAACAAAGGCACCTCTCTATATCTGCACCATTCACGTAACAGTCTCCATTCACACATATAGAATTCTCAGAACAGTTGGTATTAGCTGTGAGGAAAAAGCAACAAGAAAAAAATGAGAGAAAATCACGCCTATAAAGGTCAAAGGATGTGTGTGTGGACGTACCTCACATACACCCCCAGGACATACGGACAGATGGAGAACAGATTCTTTGTTTTCTTTGGGAGTTAATCTTTTGTTGAAAACAGTTCTCAATCATGAGTTAGTGTGCTTTATGGGAGAGTGTATGGGGACAGAGCGAAAGACAATGCCTTGTCTTCGAGAGTTAAAGTACAGCTGTTTGGGCGTGTTTATGGTGTAAATCGAGGACACACATGTGAAACATCAACTTGAGGACGTCCTCGATTAGAAAACGTGTTCAAAACCAATGGGAGCTGTTGCAAAAAAGTATAAACAAGAGATCGACGATGAGGAATAGTAGCAAATCCTCAATTTACATCATAAACAAAATTGACTGTGTGTCTGTGTGTTCACAAGTTGATTATTCACAAGATGATAATTGATGCGAATTATCCCCATAAAGAAATGTGCACAAAGTGATTTCCTTACAGTTACTCTATGCAACGGACTTACCAACACAACTGCCATCAAGCAGTGTAAATGCTTCATGGCACACACACTCAAAGGATCCTATAGTGTTTCTGCAGTTTTGAAGGCAGTTGTCAATCTCCAAATCACACTCATCAATGTCTGCCATCGAAAAGAATAAGTAAAAACAATACACTTGACCTGTGTTTCTTCCACTCAACATCTACTGTCCAAGGTTCAAATCGAACTAGGTGTGTCAAAGTGTCACTTGCAATCCACCATAACATTCCTAATAAAACCAGCATTGCATCAGTATGTGATGCTGCCGGTGCAAACCAGATCAGACTAGTTCAGACTAGATTAAACCAAGACTTGACTCACCTTGGCAATCCACTATACCGTTCCAAATATTGCATCAGAATGTGATGCTTCCGGTGAAAACCAGAATAGACTAAAGTTCAGACTAAACCAAATTAAGACTTGACTCACCTTGGTAATCGGTACCATTCCCATTAAAGCCAGCATTGCATCAGCATGTGATGCTGCCGGTGCAAACCAGAAAAGACTAAAGTTCAGACTAAACCAAACCAAGACTTGACTTACCTTGGCAATCGGTACCATTCCCATTAAAGCCAGCATTGCATCGGCAATTGAAGCTGCCGGGGATATCGGTGCAAGTAGCGTTCTCATGACAGACTGGTGTCGACCCCTCACATTCATTTACATTGGTACAGTTACGGCCGTCACCAGACAATCCCTCATTACAGGTGCAGGTATAGGAACCCTCGGTGTTATCACACATTGCTTGGATGTTGCATTCATCAGTGTTCCTGCTACACTCATTCACATCTAAGAAAGTAAGAACAATCATTTGAACATAGCACAAAGAAATTGATAGGAATGGTGTTTGAACCTGCGACCTTCGGATTGCCGTTCCGGTGCTCTACCAATTGAACTATTCAGAGTCATTTTGGCAGGTAAGGATTTTGTCAGTTTTTTTATTGAAGGGATGTTGAACAAAATACGAACAAGTATGATAGCTAGGCAAATAGGAACATTTACCATTAGTGAGGGGCAAAACATTAAATCAAGATCCGGGAATCAACACCAAGTCAATTCGAAATTCCATCCAAACACAACCTATTTACCTGTACATGTGAAGCCACTGCCTTCATAGCCTTGGCGACACTGACATCTATATGAACCAATCGTGTTTGCACATTCAGCACCGTTGTCACAGTCATTTGTTCCAATGCATTCATTGATATCTGCAATTGTGACAAAATATCCTCAAAATGAAGCTAATGTGCACAGATTTAAATTAGCACACTTTCTAACAATAAACTTTGGAGAATTAAGTTTGTTAACGTGCAGGAAACGTTGAAGAATACCTAAACCCCAGACCAAAACAGGCATTTTTACTGAGACAGTGCCAATGACAGTGACAGTGCCAATGAATTTTGAAACACTTCAGACTATCAAACTTGTTTTAAAGCTTGATTCTTGAATGACACCTACAAAAATGTTTGTTGATGTTGATTCAGTCAACTCTCACTAATTAGTAACTTGTGGGATGAAAGCTTAAAGAGGAAAACAAAAATAAATTATTTTGCGCACAAATGACCCACCCTGCGAGAACCAGGCAGCCAATGATTCCAGTTTTGTAAAGAAATAAATCAATGACTAAACATCTGTGCATTTTTTTACAATGTCTCATTCAAAAGGGAATACATTTTTGATATGAAAAAAAAATTATCTAGCGCACAAATAAACCCGTCTAGCGACATCTAAATGATTGTCTGACAGCCAATATTTTGATTTTTGTTGAAAAATATTTCAATAACTGAACATCTGTGCATTTTTTGGTACAATGCCTCGTTCAAAAGTGAACAATTTTTTTATCTCTGGGAAAAAAGCAAGTGAAAAATCAAAACTATTTCCTTTTGGTGAAACTTGTAAAATTGCACAGGAAACACATCTTTTAATAAAAGGGGTGAAAAATTAAAATGTATTTTTATTTTGACCAACCTTGACAAGATGTGCCATCTCCGTTGAAGCCTGTATTACAACTGCATTCATAGCTACCTTGGGTGTTGTTACAGGTCGCATCGTCTGCACAGTCGTCAGTCTGTGAGTCACATTCATTGATATCTAAAGGAAACCAAACCCAACCCAATCATTACTGAATGACTTCATCCTACTGATGGAATTACAGACTTGTGAGTTAACTACAGTCATGTGACTTGAACGTTATCTTGTTGTGGACTGCTTCATAGTTTATTCCAATGATTACATTTTTCTAACCAACGTGTCATCCTATTTTACGGGATACAAGAGATTTTGATTAGATTAAGGTACGAATTAAGACGTTTTGGCGAATGCAAGGCCAAGATGACTCAAGACGTTACTTTGGCATATCATGCAAAATGGTTCATGCAGTCAGTTCATACTTGCCTACAATCCTGTGTGTGTCTGATGTACAAACTCATCCTGTCTCATTTCCGTATAAGCAAAAGTCAATCATGCAATAAGACATAAAGGCATGTGCTTGGAATACTACTGAAGTGAACCTATCAACAGCAAGTCTCAACGATCAACCGACTCAAGTATCACCTACCGATGCAGCGTTTGCCGTCAACAAACAAGGAATAGCCAGAGTTGCAGCTGCAGTTGAAGCTAGCCAGGGTGTTGACACAATTTTGATCACATCCACGTCCGTTATTACTGGCTGGCTCATCTCTGTACACAACACACTCATCAATATCTGTATAGAAAGGCAATACAGCTACATTGCGTAATATTTGAAGCAATTTCCAAACCACTGACAAAATCACGTCTTATAAAGACTGCCCAAAAATATCAACCTTCTAAATATTTTTCTTAATATGGTCATTTCAGAATTATAAGGCTATGGCTTGCAATTACATATGCGCCTATGGAGTAGCTGCAGCCACATCCCATAGACATGTGTGTTACTACAATCAGTAGCCAAGTTATTTAGACGTGGCTGATTAATGACATTTGTTTGAGGGGTTCAAACATATATACTTTGCAATGAAAACAAAATTGGAGATTTTAGCTATTTAACGTGTATTCATCCCTACCACTTTAGTTCTATACTTCTCCTAAATAGACGACTAGCTTAATATGCAAGTGTAAACAGAAGACCCGAGCTCACAGCTAAAGTGTATATGTGCCACAAGACTGCAACACACTGTGAGACAGTGTGGGGAGGTAAACGTGCAGTTACGTATCCACATTTGTGGGGGGGGGGGGAGTCCATATAAACATGCTCAGATGAAGTTCTTGCAGAGAAAGATCAAGAAATCCTCAGCATACCAATGCAGGACTTGCCGTCTCCCTCCGTTCCTTCTGGACAAGATCCGCAGGTGAAGTTTAAAGATGGTGGGTCATCATCAAAACACGCCACTCCTAAGAAGCAGGGGTTGTCTTGACAGGCGTCATAGTTCATCTCACAGAAGTCACCTGACCAGCCAGGTGTGCAGTTACATAACACAACCTGGAAATTAAGACCAGAATGTTATTCATTCACCACATGCAGGTATCTTGTGTGGGTGCTAGGGGTGTGCATTGACAGGAAGTAGTACGGGAACAGGGTACCCGATTGAAAACCCATTTCAAAAATTCAAATCTCGGAAGTTGCTGTTGAGTTTATGAAGGTCCATATGATAATATAACCACAGCAGTGCATCAATGCACTGCAACTTTCGTGAGCATCTTACAAGGGCGGATCTAGAACACGATTTTTTTTGGGGGGGCCAAAAAAAAATTTGGTCCCCCAAAAAGTGGGTCCAAAAAAATTACGGCTTGGGGTTCGGGGCCCGCTTAAGGGCCCCGAAAAAAATTTGGATTCTAGATGCTCTGTGGTGCGATCTGAGGCAATTTCTGATCACTTTAACCAATGTTTTTTAGGAAAAGATGGTGGTGTACTCATTGCCTGCCTTTATTGCGACGTCACATAAAAAAAAAAAAAAAATGCTTTCGTTTTTTTTTTGGGGGGGGGGCATGGCCCCCTTTGGCCCCCCCCCCCCGGATCCGCCCTTGGCATCTTAAACGTAAAATATGCTTTGTTTGTTATGTAGCCTGGCTATGTCTGAGAAGTTACTAAGTTATTTGTGAAGTTGCTTTTGGGTACCCGATCCCATAATCTGGAACCGATTCCTGACATTAATGGTCGGGTTCTGCCGTTCTGGTACTCAGGTACGGTACCCGGTACCCATGCACAGCCCTGGTGGATGCATGCTTTTTCCAATGTTTTAAACTCAACAAAGGTGGCAAAGAAATCAAAAATGTCATAATTATTTTCATGAAAAAGGGAACATAAGAAAGATGAAATGATTTGAATTTGTTTTTAATTAATCAGAGATTTAAAATTGTTCAGCTCTAAATCTGGGTGTTAATTGGTGGGGGGAGGGGGGCAGGCCCCCTTCACTTTTCAAAGTGGGGTAATATCATATTGTTTGTCAGAATAGCTGATTCAATAACTCACAACTCGAAAATGATGTTTAAAAGATGATATTTTGCTCCCCCCCCCAAAAAAAAAAAGGTTTTAATGGTCAGAAATTGCCTCAGATCGCACCACAGAGCATCTTATCAAAAATTTATCGGGCTCCTGGAGCGGGCCCCGAACCTCATGTTATATTACGGCTTCGCGCTTCCCGCTTGCATTAGTGCTGATCAAGGTATGCCCCGCCCCCACTTTTGAGAAGTGACTGTGTGTGCAAACATGAGGTAACCCTCAAAGATTTTGTGTAGCTTTTAAACACTGCTGCATTAAACATTAATGTGCACGTTACTGCGGTTATATACCACAGTGACAATCCTTACCCCAAAGCGGCCATCTGTGATGACGTTAGTACCCTCCACATACTCATCATACAGGCATGTACCAGCATTCTTACAGTCACAGAGTTTGACAATCGGTTCCAATGTTGCATTCGCTTTCCCATCAGTCACCAGGAAGCCGAGGGTGACCTTTGACCTATCAGCTGGTGTCCATGTGAACTGGCCTCCTGTAGTTAACAGCAAACAATGTTGGTGTCAAAAAGGACGTCTTAATGTAGGGTTAAGGCAATATATTTGTATTCACATTCGTTTATAAGGATCCTGACATTAGCGAGCACCATACACTGACTCCAACCTACTTTCAGGACAATTCCCTAACTGTTGCAGAGCCGGAAAGTGGTGTTTAAGGTAACACTAACCTGGCGATGAAACAGTCGCCCCTGGAATCACCTCCAGTAACTCATATGATATGTCATCTCCATCAGGATCAACGGCTTGTATCTGCAGTATGAAGGGTTGTCCAACAACTACCTCAACTGTCTCGACCAGTGTGACATTGGGCGGGAAATTGGCTGGAAAATATACAATCATCTTTAAATGATGGAAAGGTAGATATTTGGGGAATTATTAATTAGAACAAATTGGGAGCAGTGTTTGAATGATTACGCGAACATCGGTGGGGGTGGGGGTTCAAAGAATCTTTACCCCCATCCGGCATGACTCCCCCCCCCCCCCCGAAAAAAGAAGAAAAAACTTAGGCTTGTACCATTCACTGGACATCCAGTACCAACCTCCCTGTCCGCTCTTGCAATTTGTCAGCTGGATATTTCAAGTTTTTGTTCGGCTTAAAACTGACCAACCCCATCCCTGTGCCCCCCACCCATTTTTTTTTATTTCAACACCTCTGAAAAAAAGAAAGAATTAAGAATGGATAAACATGTAATTTGCTTGCAGCTGTTGTCATTGAGTTTTATTCAGTTTTCTCCAAAATGGCTTGCAATAAAAACGGCTACATTTTACGTACATTTCCAACATCAAGCCCAATCAGAACATGACTTACTTGCTGCCATCATGTCAATAGTATTCTGCTCACTGAGCTGCATAGATGCCACACCGATATCCGTACTACCCGTTGCCAAGGCATCATACAAACACACTTTGTTACTTCCGCAGGCATCTTGAGCGGCTTGGAGCTTTGCTGGATCGGCTTCACTCGTGAGATTGTCCAGGAACTTTGGTGTGAAACTGGGATCGTTCATATTAGAAAAACTCTCACCCGGCGGAACGTAGTAGAAGAGGGAATCACTCTCTGAGATGGCCCCTGCATGAGGTCAAAGGTCATACATCAATAAGAATAACGCACGTGCCTATGGAAGCGGCTGCAGCCACTTCCCTTAGACCCGTGTGTTATACCTAGCCGTAGCTAAGTAATTCGGACACGGGTTTATAGGCTACGGCTAATATGGAACTACATCTGCATCTCTGTCCATTGGAACTATGTAGGAACAAGCTTTGGCTCCAGATTAGCCCTTATCATACAGTCTTTTAAACTTGGGTTTTGCATTTCACCAACATGATTTCAGAAGTACTGCATGCTAATGCTTTTAGAGAGCCCAAGAAAAATATTGTTACGATTTTACTCAGGTGGTAATGTATCCCATGGAAATCAAATGTACTGCAACTCTACCACCAAGCTTGCCAAACTGCCGGCTATGGTTCAAATTTAAACTTCATGAAACTTCACACCATTGATCATATTTAATGACTTATATGGGCTTTGTGCAAGAACAAGAGAAGGCCTTTATGAGCACTTTTGAAAGCTCCGTGGATGGGGCACAACGCGTACGTGTGTGTACTGACTCGCGCGTGTATGGCACAAAATGTGCAACACTAATTTTATTCTGACTTATATGCACAAAGCAACAGTGTCTTCGTGTGAACATCAGGCGTTGTCAGCAATGCATTTGAATGTCTCTCCCAAATGGTCTCTCCCCAAACTCTCCCTTTCTTACCAAGGAGGGGGTACTTGTGCATGGAGCCCATATTACTATAGCAAATCTGCTTGATGGTTTATAGAAGCTTTCCTCTGGTGTGCGTTTGTTCAAAAGATACGTAAGGGTAGACCTTTTGCTCATTCAATGTAACTGAATTATATAGTTGCCCCCAAAACCTACAAAATGACTGGTGAATAAGGGTGTATTGACTTACACGTTTGACCAAATGCAAAGAAGTCTTGTTCAGACTGTTCTCCATTTGGACCAGTTACTGTCTGTTGGGTGTTATCACGTCTCAGAGCATCGTTACCTTTGTCCCCATCCCATACACCTGCACATAATGCATGCAAATACTCCCTGACAATTACACTAGTTCAAGTGGTTAACGATTATTGCTGAAATCATGTGATTAGTTTCAGCAGCTGGCACTGTGGTAAATTCAGCACTGTAGTTTGTCTATCATGAGTGTTCACGTCTCCTTGCCCCACTGTGCCAGGTTATGTTGCACCTTGAGGTTATAAAACAACATCAAGCATTGGCAGAGATCGAAATGAGGATTTTTGGATATTAGGAAAGAGAATAAAATACTCCTTAAAATACCCTTTGTTGCACTTCAATTGGACATTTCGTCGTAAAGTATTAAGTTTCCATTGATCGATGTGAAAAGGTGAAATGCTGAGAAAAAAGTTCTTTAAAATTGCAAGTTTTGTAGTCATGAAAATGAAAAGATATTATTTCCTTTTAAAAAAGTGTAGATCATATCAAAGATTAAAAATATCACTAAATCTGAAATCACCAAAAAAAAACCAAAAATCACCCCCATTTTGTTTTGTTTAATTTTTTTCTCCACTACAGCCTGTGCCTAGTTCTGTCTCATTTTGCCAGAACGCCTCATATATTATAATGTGTATAATCATAAAGAAATACATTAATTTTAAGATGCATTACTAAGCTACAGTGCACACAAAGATCTCAAATGATATAAAATCTACACAGGGCATAAAATGAAAGTTTGCAATTTGACATCAAATTAGCAATGCCACAAATGCTTTGCTTACCCAGTAATCCCTTGGTTTTGTTCATGTAGTCTTCACTCAGTTGTGTGGTGATGTCAGCAAAGCTGTTACTGACTCCAACAGAGAACTGAATATCTGCCTGGTAGACTGCGATGATTTTGATTGGATCCTCCTCTCTTAGTACGGTGAAATTGCCAATAAGTAATCCTGAAATCATCAGATTTAAATACTCATCAAACAATAAGCCTCTGTACTGATGGCATCACGTCATTGCCACAGTACAGTATGTTTTAATGGATTTGTCAAGTGTAATAGTGTAATACAATGTAATACACTTGCTGATGGGTACTTTAAGGGGTCTAAAAATGAGCAGCATGCATATGTAATGATGTTATTAATTCACATGGGCATTCGCTAGGATCACATGTGCATGTATCAATTGTTCTCTGTGTCCATGTACAGCATATAGGTACCGCCAATAATGACTCCACAATGAAAATACCAATTTTTCTTATTCTATTCATAAAAAAAACTTGTACGCGAGTTTTGTTGATGTCTCCTAACGCGGCGCAGCCCCATCGTGGAGCACTTTGGGTTTTTTTTCACCTCTGGCCCCTTGCCAGAGCAAAAGATTTACCTAAAATTTCACAGTGAGTGAAATTTCATCAATCTCTTTAATCATTCCCATTCATAAATCTTGAGCTTACCTACTCGTTACAAAGTTAGCGGAAAATGTATTTTGGCCTGATTTCCTGAGTTATTTCGAAGTGCACAATAAACCCTCTAAAATTGCGCCCAAAAAGGAAAAAAAAAAAATTTCTGACAAACTTCTAATAGGGTATGTGATAATATAGAGATAAAAATGATTTATCAGAATTGTTAAGCTTTAAAGACATTCTTAAATGATAACTTGGGATTTTCTGAGACTTGTTCAAGTGCGCCATATTAGGGAATACTTAGCTGATTTTGTGCCCAACTTCCGGACACCACCGTTTTTGAATTGCGGACTAAATTTCATGACACTGAAATTGTTCACAAAGGTTCAACGCGAGCATTATTAAGGTAACGAACTAATATTTCACTGAATGAGTTTGATCTTTGCCAACAAAGAAGTTTGGCAACACTTTGCATGAGGAAAGTTGGGAGAACTGTTGAAGCGCGCCACGTTAGGGAACACCACTATTAATGTGTACATGTAGGAATTCTTAAACCACTGTCCGTGGTATGTAACCAGTTCTCACCATCAGCTGTGGGTGTGACACTCGCACCGTTAACTTTGGTTTCCAAATCGGTTCCGTCACTGTTTAGTTTGATCTCAATCTGAAACAAATACAAACAAGATTTTAACGCCAGAGTCCATCACAAGTCCATCACAGGTTAAGTCTCAAGCTATTCAAATGAGATTCTAATGACAAAGCCATTCCTTTGTTGTTGTTTATCCCTTTACTTGTTACAGGACGACCATGATTTACTTGTGACCTGACTTGTGATGAACAAATTATTGACAAATAAAAAAGGAAACTATAAAAACAATCTGCCTTAATAAACTCACATACACCAGAACACCAAATCATGCATGGGATCACACACAAGAAACATCAAGATCGAAAACTGATTTGCAAATAGTAAGTCCTTTCTACAACATCTTGCAGATAAAAAGGAGCTCACCCTTGCATCACCGACGTATTCAGCAGCGAATCCAGCAAAGAATGTTGCTTCAGAGAGTTGCTGGGTTTCAGAGTTCAACGCTCGCTGTGTCCTGCCTTGTAGTTCAAACTGTCTCTGTCCATCGTCATCATCAATGAGAGCCATAGTGTATTCACCCAGACCATTGAAGGTGTAGTCCAAACCATCCAGTGTCCTCATGTGTGGGTCGCCAAAGTTCCAGCCTACAATTTGGTGAAGAATTATCAGTTACAGCATTTCTGCAAAAAAATTCATGTTTTGCATGGCACCAATCATTGTTTTGTGATTTTACTTAACAAATATAGTTTCTTTAATAGAAATACATTTTTCCTTAGTAACTCCATGAAATTGGGTAACTGAATTATTCTACAAAGTCAGTCATCTTTGGATCTGCCGGTGGGCCCCGTGCGCAAGTACCCCGTCTGCCACCGGAAAGAAGGGGGGAGTTTGGGGAGACCATCGGGAGAGACTTTGACATCGCCGACGACACCCAACGTCGAGTCCGAATCTCGAGTCACAAGCTCTCAATGGTGTTAAAAAACAACACCTATTGCCTCTCGGAGCCCAATGTCAGTGACTTGTCGGTAAGCCATTTACGAAATAATTGACAGGGGAATGATAGATGTATTTCAAATAAGCAGTCACGCTCAGGCTATTAAAACCTCCTTAGTGATGTCTGATTTGGCTACTCTTCACATTTGCACTGTTGTTAAAAAAAACCCCAGACAACTAGATGACTTACCCCGCCTAGGCGGGCGATATCTCCGACAGCTCTGAATTGGTCTCCATCGTCTGTACAGACGACACAATGAAGACTGCTCACAGCAGTAATAGCGCACCAAGACTCCTTGATCTGTCAAGTTTCAATCATACAACTGTTTGTGATCACTGTATAACTTGCAATCAGAGATTGTAATTTTTACTAAACGTTTGCTTTATATTTTTTTGGTTCAATAATCAGCCTGTGAAGTGTCGTGGGAACCAAATGTAGTAACAATGCTGAGGTTGAGGTACTGCTCATAACGGGTCCAATTTATAATTCGATTAACAAGTCCAGATGCAAGTAACAGGGAATCAACTGTAACAAATAAATGCCTTTGCCACAGCTATTGGTTCTAATCAGAAGAACAGATTATGCTGACATTTGGAGCATTTGGAACCGTTTTTCTTAAGCGGATTGTAGACTTTCTGAAACCTCAATATATTTCCCCCAAAAAAACTACCTGTCTAAATATTTTTGAAATACCAACCACGAAGTAAATTTAGAAAATGTTTAATTACGCAGATACTCCTAATCCTTGGCATAAACCCTATGAGTTTTGTTTAATTTCCCTCACACCTCATTGCACAATAGTAAGTTGATCACATGTTTGGGCACTGTGACTAAGTTCCCTACCTTAATCATTGTCAGTGCTTCATGTAAAAAAAAAAAGGGGGGCTGCGGTTCGGAAATTGAGATCATTTGCCCTTGAGCATGAAACTGATGTCTTGCCATGTTATGACCAATGGACCAATGGACCATTGTGCAGTGAGGCGTGGGGTACATAAAACTCATACAGGTTTAGGCCAAGGATTAGAAGTATCTGCACAATGAACACATTTTCCAAATTTACTTTGTGATTTTGCTTTTAATACTTCAAAAATATGTTGACAGACACATTTTTTAGGGACACATACAGTGTAGAGTTTATTGATGATAGTCTGAGATGTAGAAGACAAATTGGCTCATCATTGATGAGTTCCTTGAATCAATTGAACATGACCTACCAAACCAACTGTTAAATCGACTGGTTGAGAAGAACAAAGGACTTAATTGAAATGGTTCCATGATTGAAGCAACTCCGGCACTCAGTACACCCCTGAGAAAATCACATCTGGGAATGTTATAGCAACATTGTGGGCCGGGTAACCATGGCAACTGCAAACGCCGGACGTAGCAAATGGTATCTGAAGTAAAACAAGTAGAGAAAAATAGATATCGAGCATCCTATATAAAAATAACACACGGATACCGTAAGTGGAAGAATGAAAATAAAGCACTATAGCAATCAAAATACTTGCTTAGCAATGCAGCCATACTATTTCATGTCTTTAATAAGGGAATAAATATGTACTTAGTCGGTTTTAAACAAGTATGTTTGAAAACCAGCTTGGGGCCTGGACACCGATTATGGCCAAAGCCGAAGGCGAAGTAAATTATCGGTGACCAGGCCACAAGCCAGTTTTTAAACCTTCTTGTTTATAACCGGACTCACTGGTAGTATTGCGCATGCCTTAGTGAGGACTGTGAAGGTTCAACCAATAAAAGGGTAGAAGGGACCTAATTTTATAGTCCAAATTCCATGTGACACAGGAAAAGTGTTTAAAACTAGCCAGTCGGTGTTTTATCAACAGCTCAAAACCACCCCCCTGCCAGGCTCTTGACCAAAAGGAATAGTAAACCATTTCACGTTTTTACGAATAAGTTCAATGCTATAAAGAAATTTGATAATTGGATATTTTTTTCAAATAAAGACGTCACATTTTGCTCACCGAATCGTAGCGAAAACTGTGTGGGCAGTACGTAGGAATATGGAATAGGTACCCATCTCCTGTCCCGACGAGCACTCTGCAGACTGCATGGACAGGTGTTGGCAACCCTCACAGGATACAAATACAGGAAAAAGATATAGCTACTTCTCTGTCGATAATACCAATTATAGCAGAAGAGACGAGGATTGATAAAGTTGGCTTGGAGTGTATCCAGCTGGTAAACCCAACGTCCTATCATTCCAGAATTGCCTACGACGCTACCAGGGCGGAACACGGATCTACCCAGTAAGTCCACATAAACCTTCCGTCCAAACCGCCCACAGGTGAAACCCTGGATGACGTAATGGTTATATAAGTAGACTGGGTCCCAATTCATGCCGCATGGATCGTAGTTAAAGATAACATAACTATGTTCTCCGTTTGTCAATAGTATAGCTTGGAAGGTGTTGGTCTCCTGGAAAAAAACCACAATATTGAAAACATCAGTAAGCCAATATTGTCAAATATATATTGTTTAACAAGAACCATCCTTCTACAAATTGTGTACTGAACATCCGAGTACAATCTCATATTGAACCACAGTTGACCGTCAAAGTAGGAAGATTATAGATTTGCATGATATCTAAACTAGATTCAACAGTCTTCATCACTGCACACACTTACCTTTCTTCAATGAGTGGAAGAAATTTCACAACAAAAAATCCCAAGAATATTTATGAATAATTCAATGAAAATGGAACAGAAGTGGGATAAACATGTATAAACAAATGTTTCTAATTTTAACGAAACATGACTTGATGAGTCTATAGACTTATTCGGCGACAGCTATTTTCTGAGTTGGCAATACGGCGGCACCAGGCTCGCACGAGTCATGCTCAGGTAGTACGCATGCACTACGGGCCCCTTCAACCGATGGTGTTACCAAAATGCGCGCCTCGTCTCTAAGAATCTGCGTATGACGTGCGCGACAGCGTGGCACCACCTCAAAAATGGCTTTTTATTTTGTTCGCCGCATGACACTATAGTAAAAACTGTCTCTCCAATTATCTTTGGCAAGTGCTATAAATCTGCATGATTGACATCACGTTTGGAGAAATACTCCTTCGTAAGGTGTACAACATCAAGATAATTGAATTATAACCATAGACATACTTACAAAAGATAATGAGACAGACTGGACATTACTCCACGTGATGACGAGGACCCAATTGGCCAAGAAGCTGCCATACTGTGCTGACACGATATTACTCAAAGTACGCAACATGGTACTATCCGTCGAAGGGTTGTCATAAAGCTAGCATAAAAACAACAGAAATAATATAGACATATTACCTACGTGATACCGACATGCAACTGACAGACAGAGTTGTAATGACTGGAGTCAGTGACTGGACTCGAGTCCCAATTTTTGGCAACTCGATGCAACTCGGTTCGTGTCGTTGCGAGCAAATGACTTGACTTAACTGGAGTCCTTCATCAGAAGACTAGACTCCAGTCACAAAATACAGTGACTCACTGCAACTCTTTGGACAGGCAACCAAAACATTGAAAGCATATTTTGCATTTGGCCACAGAATACAGTTAAAACAACAGCGCTGAGTTTGCCAACAGTTATTGGCATCATGTGACCGTAACATCCAAAATCGTAAATAGATGTAACATGGTCCATAGGATGTGATGCTGTGATTACAATTACTACTGACAAAAGTCAACAGGTGGAGGTGTCATCACAAACCATAGCAGGCAACAGACATGTACATAAGAAGGGCTGGTATAATATCAAGCTAATGATCGCATAACGTGGAGAAGGACTGTACATTGAGGAATTACTAAATTTGAGCATAATAGCAATGAATTATATGTGTAAGGCGCGATCACACGGTCGCACTGCGCTATGGTAAATTATGACGCTATCGGTCGATCGCACTGCCACGTACCAGTCGAAAACCTTTCCTTTCTAATTAACGGCAATAGTCCAGCGGATATGTGAAAAAATTGTGCACTTTTGCATAAAAGTGTGACACTTGGCACAGATGTTTATATTCATTTGAGAAAATGTTTTAGATGTGGAGCCATCGCAAATTTACCCATTTAGGGGCGTGGCATCCATTTAAAAAAAGGGGGCGGGACTTGTCCTGCCCGCAGTGAAAACGGTTTTTCCCACTTGTTACAAAAGCAGGAAACTTCACAAAGACATAATTATATGTATATATATATATATGTTTATATTAAAAGAAAGGGGGGGGGTAATTATTATGCCAACTTTGGAAAACATTGTGCCCATATTTCATGAACGAATACAACGTCCCACAAACGTTTATATTCATGAGAAAAAAAATTCCAGATGTGGAGCGACCTCGAACACACCCTTTTAGGGCGTGGCAACCATATAAGAAAAAAAGGCGGGGTTTTTATTATGCCCACCCTGGAAATATTGTTCCCACATTCATAGAGTAATGGAACTTTCCACAGACATTGACATTCATGAGAAAACAATTCCAGATGTGGAGCCATCGCGAAACACGAGTTTAGGGGCGTGGCAGCCATATTGAAAAAAAAGGGGCGGGGTTCTCATTATGCCCAACATTGGAAAAATGTGCCCACATCTCATAAACGAATGAAGCTTATTCCCATAGACATAAATACTCACGAGAACAAAATGCGTGGAAGCCATAATAAAATGGGGGTGGGGGGGGTGGGGTAGTCATGATGCCCCTATAAAAGAAAGTTGTGCCTACCTTTCATAAATGGATTAAATTCCATTCGGACAATATATTCATAAAAATCCTTTTTTTTAATGTGAAGCCATCACAAAACTCCCCTTTTAGAGGCGCGGCAACCATTTTAAAAATAGGGGGGTACTCAATATGCACACCGTGGACAATTTTGTCTGCGTTTCGTGTTGGAGTAGGGCCGCCTTTATAGTTGGAAGTTACTATTGGCAAACCCTTTGTTTTCTTTCACTATGCATTCTTGCCTCATCTATATTAACCCAGTTACTTGCTCTTTCGTCTGTAGAATTATTGTTAACCTTTCAACTGCAGCAATTTCTGAATTGGGGTATAAACTGGGGTACCTCAGTTAGTCTTGGAAAGACTAGTGTTACTTCTTCAAATACATTGTTTCCCCTGCCTTTTTTTCTGACAGACCAAAAGGCATATGCAGTGTCGCACCTGTATAAAGTATACAATTTTTTAATGGATTTGGTCGGGGTAAAAAAAAACACTCATCAGAGCTTGATATATCATTTTTAAGAGAACAGAGGGGGTTGTGTGGTGGGGGTACACGGATTCATTGAATGTGAAGTCATAGTGGCTAGTCTACTAGCCTTTGTGAGGCGAGTACATCGTGTTGTTACCCAATCTGCTGTAAATGCGGTGCAACGGGTAGGGGGTAGGGGGATTTTACACTCCCCCCCCCCCTAAAAAAAGGTTTCCATGGCCTTTCAATGTTAAATGTTAGAGTTTAGGGCTGCCGTTCTGTGTATTTGTAATTATGAAATCACTCTGGAGTTTAGATGTGCATGATAATGGTGCAAGTACACACATTGAACCCTATAACTGGGGTTAGCCTACCGGTACTTACCCATGCTCTTTGGTGTAAGTCATTGTATTACCAAATAATATAGGTTATGGGCCAATCAACATTATTAGAAATCAACAACAAAATATAAAAATTGCAAATGTGGGCACAGCGAGTAGGCCCCTCGCACCTCTAAAAGGATGAGTTTGCTGTGGCTCCACATATGAATTTATTTTCTTGCACCAAGTTTGTGTGAAGTTTAGTCATTTATAAAAGTCATTTTACTATGGCTGCCACGCCCCTAAAAGGGTGTGTTTACGATGGCTTTACGTGTGATTTTTTTTTCTCGTGAATATTAATGTCTGTGGGAATTAGCTTCATTCGTTTATGAGATGTGAGCACATTTTTTCCATGTTGGGCATAATGAGAACCCCGCCCCCTTTTTTTCAATATGGCTGCCACGCTCCTAAAAGGGTGTGTTCGCGATGGCTCCACATCTGGAATTGTTTTTCTCATGAATGTCAATGTCTGTGGAAAGTTCCATTTCATGAATCTGGGAACAATATTTCCAGGGTGGGCATAATGAAAACCCCCCCCCTTTTTTTGCTTATATGGTTGCCACAAGGCGCGGTTCTACAGGGGGGGGGGGGGGGGGCTACCCCCCCAAAAAAAATTAACCGGTCAACATTTCAGCACGCCTCCCTGAAAAAAATTCTGGATCCACCGTGCTAGCCCCCCAAAATATTGGTTCTAGAACCGCGCCTGGTTGCCACGCCCCTTAAAGGGTGTGTTCGAGATGGTTCCACATCTGGAATTTTTTTTCTCATGAATTTCAATGTTTGTGGAAAGTTCCATTTCTCTATGAGTGTGGGAACAATATTTCCAGGGTGGGCATAATGAAAACCCCGCCTTCTTTTTTTATATATGGTTGCCACGCCCCTAAAAGAGTGTGTTCGAGATGGCTCTACATCTGGAATTTTTTTTCTAGTGAATATAAACGTCTGTGGGACGTTTTATTCATTCATGAAATATGGGCACAATTTTTCCCAAAGTGGGCATAATAATTACCCCCCCCCCCCCTTTTCTGTTAATGGCTGCCACGCCCCCCCAAAAAAAGTACTTTTGTGGTGGCTCAAAATCTGGAAAACACTAATAATCTATATAATTATGTCTTTGTGAAGTTTCCTGCTTTTGTAACAAGTGGGAAAAAACCGTTTTCACTGCGGGCACGACAAGTCCCGCCCCCCCCCCCTTTTTTTTAAATGGATGCCACGCCCCTAAAAGGGTAAATTTGCGATGGCTCCACATCTAAAACATTTTCTCGCATGAATATAAACATCTACGGAGCCCCTAAAGGGACATCCAAAATTATTTTTTGTATCTCGTGCGCACGACATAATATCTCGTGCGCACGACATATATATGTCGTGCGCACGTGCTAATTATCTCGTGCGCACGAGATATTATGTCGTGCGCACGAGATAATTATGTCGTGCGCATGAGATATATGTCGTTCGCTCGAGATATACGTCGTGCGCACGAGATATTATGTCGTGCGCACGAGATAAAAAGATAATTTTGGATGTCCCTTTAGGGGCTCCGTAAACATCTGTGCCAAGTTTTCACGCTTTTACGCAAAAGTGCACAATTCATCGATATTTTGTCACATATCCGCTGGACTACAATGGATGATTTTCTTTTTAAAAGGTAAATCATACTATGCGACTGAACGCGCCCAATACATACGGTCCATTTTAGGACGAAAATCCATAATTTAAGTCTCTACGACAGAGTTGTGGGTTCGTCCTGAGCGGGAGACCATGTGCTGCTGCAGGTGGCCATGCAGCCTACTCCTGATCGAAACTGACTCCAACCATAGTCTTTGTCTGACATGACATAAATTCTATCGACATAATAATGGGCTAGATGTGAGCATTCAGTTGCCTTGCCCCAATTCCTAGGCTGATTTCATCTTACATACCTTCCAAAACACGTTGTTTGTGGAGTCAAATGCATCGGCTCGGACGTCTGCCCAGAATGGAGCTATCATTTTAACGTTGCCGTTGAAAGAGAAACTATAAGTACTCGGGAATGCTTGTTTGTAGATGGTACGTCTGACTCGTCGATTATTGGACAGGATAATCACACCGTTGTCAGTGAACTGATAACAAGAATAAACAAGTCAGGTGTGACATTGACATCATTAGTGTCTTCTGTAGGTTTCATATAATCCCTATGATCTCAGAATAAATACAAGATATCTATCGTTTTAGCCACTGTGACCTTGACCCTTGTCCTTTCGACCCCCAATGCGATAGGCCTATTTGGATTACCAAGAACGATCCACAAACCAAATTTGAAGTTCACATGTAAAGTATTTCTCAAGTTATCGCGCTGACAAAATTTATTTTGTTTTAGCCACTGTGGCCTTGACCCTTGACCTTTTGGCCCCAAATGCAATAGGCTTCTTAGGATTGCCAAGGACAATCCACAAACCAAATTTGAAGTTCATATGTAAATTATTTCTCTAGTTATCGCGCTGACAAAATTCCTTTTTTTTGTCACTGTGACCTTGACCCTTGACCTTTCGGCCCCAAATGCAATAGGTTTCTTAGGATTACCAAGAACAATACACAAACCAAATTTGAACTTCGTATGTTAAGTATTTCTCAAGTTATCGCGCTGACAAGATTTGTCCGGACACACACACACCCACACGCAGACTTGTTTCACATACCTAGTGTGGACTTTCCTTTCTTTTCGTGTAGTTAAGGAACACCAGTGGAAAAACTCATTTTTCTCAAACTGTGAAAACTCTTACAACCCAATTTTTTTTCAATGATTCCCTTTAGTGTTTCTCTTCATTCTGCTACAGATAAACCTAACCCAAAAATGCCTCTAAACCTGTTTTCCAGAAATGGGGAAACACTGTGTGGACGTGGGCAAGTCCACACTTCGTCGCTGCTACCTACATTATGTGGACGTCTTTTGTTCGGAAGTCCACACTGCGTATGTAAGACAAGCTCACACCGACCCACACACCCATGCACACACCCACCCACCTACCCACGGAAGGACAAGGCGGAAACAGTATGCCCCTTCGGCTTCGCCGCGGGGCATAAAAACAATGTAAACAAATTGTTGCTTATTGCAAAAATAAAAGTGCTGTTTATTTATTATTCATCATGCATATTGGGGTATATGTTAATGTACTGTTATTTCTTGCAAGCTCTCGGACAACACTGAGTATAATAATAATAATAATAATAAACCATTCTTATAAAGCGCATTTTACACGGGGTCCCAATGCGCTGAACAATTAACAGAGGAAAAAAAAAAATACTAACATTATATTTCATTTGCAGTGAACAGATGGGTTTTAAGATTAGCTTTGAAAACGTCCAGGGTTGGGGCTTCCTTGATGTGATTGGGTAGTTTGTTCCAGAGGGTTGGGGCTGCAGATGAAAACGCTCGCTGACCGTATGACCTTGTCGATGTTGAGGAGCAGGCGAGCAGGGATTGTGAGCTTGATCGAAGATTTCTACGTATACAGTTCTTATTAATACTACGTCCGTGCGGGGCGAAACCACATATTTAAAATGTACACCTCCCCAACGCAGAAAATACTATCATCTGACTAAAGATTACATCGCAATGTCATAATAAAAATAATAAGAATAATACATATGTATAAAGTGCACGTATCCACTAGTATTGGTGCTCAAGGCACTACCTCATTATCAGGCATCCAACTGGAAATTTAGAAAACTCCAAACTATACAAGGCTTCACACAGTATTTTTCAAGTTGTAATGACATCAATGAGAAGCGAAAAATGAGGAAATCCGAGGAAAAGTTTCATGCCTGCATTATTAACATAACTCAACCCATAAAACCGCAACGGCATGTTTTGTTGGAATATGTCAGGATAGGTGCAGTACACCTAAACTGACAGTCTTTCACATTGGGTTGGCACACCTCCAGAAACAAAGTCAGAAATATGTGTGTGCAGTTTCCCATATGGTGTTAGAATTTGCTGGGATGGGTATATGGTTCCTATTAAATCATGCTAGGGAGTTAGGATTAACCTGCTTATTTGGTCAATTAAACATTCCAAAGACAATCTCAGCACCCTGGGGACTATACAGCTCGATGCTGCCATTTGGGTGCACAGCAGCTGAATCAACCACAATAACCATCTCTGCCCTCACAGGTACCCAATTTATATTCTCGGTGGGGAGAAGCAATGAGTGACAAAGTGCCTTGCCCAAGGACACACACACACACACCCAGGCTGGACTCGAACCCACAACCTGCAGAGTTACCCACACACCACGAATCCAATGCTCCACACCACGGGGCCACGGGGCCACGGCACTCCACAGGTCATGCTGATACTTACATATATAAATTCATAGAGGCCATTGCCAAAAGGAAAGAACTGCCGTGAAGCAAAGGTTGGAGAGATCCGATCCTTGGAAGGCAGATAGAACTGTTTAAGAAAAATATAAACATCTTTAAAATATCAAGAGAAATTATGAAAAGAATGTTACATATGTCTGTCTTTGAAATTGAAAGCAACATTTATTCTGCATGGGCTGAGTATGAACTCAATCCGACAGATTAAATGTAAACATTGTAATGTCTCTAGCATGAAAGTCCAGTTGCTTTATTGAAGAATAATTATATTAAACTCACTGGTTGACTGACACTGGAGAGTGCACTGTGTCCACCCCAAAATGGAACAAGACTAGATTCTGCTCAAATAAAAGAAAACAAACATCAACTTTAAGATTCCACGTCAATCAAATTAGTCGAGTTCAGACAGGATGGCTTAGCAAGATCAAAATACTCATTTTAAATGTTGCTTGGTAGTATCCACTTGACCTTTCAGTTGATTCCTTAGTTTTTAATCAGAAAAAAAAAATAGTTAATCCAAATACTCATTAAAGTTAGGATTATTTTATTTGAGTTGCTTTGAAGAAAAAATAATCTTCAAAGCGCCATTTTAAAATTAAGAGTTTCGACCAACAATAGTCTTTGACTATGATGAAGGAAGATGAAAATAATTGGTCCACTGGAATTTCTGGGTTTTTGTAAAAGATGTGATTGGCGAGACATAGGACCTTCATGGGATGCCAGGAAATTAGGAGCCAAAAATTAAATATTCAGAACAAACTGCAGACATCTTTATTTGCAACATGTCCTTAGTATTATAATCAATTAATAATGAATTACTTATAGTGCTTCCTTAATGCCCGCTGACCGTAACAAGTGTATGTACGTGGAATTTGGGAAAGTTGAAGGTGTAGACTGGAATAGGATCTCTGGTTGATGATGTATCGGACACAACTTTGTTATGAGGACAATGCATATGGTTGATTTGAATGATGTATGACAAAGATAAATGCCAAAAGTGACGTGCACTAAAATCGTGTACAAAGTCTATGAGATTTTGCATGGAACAAAAAGTGGAAAACAAACGAGAGCTATGTCTGTTCGAACAGAACATAGGGCTTTTTCGCACTTAATAAATATTTATGCTGTGTTTGTCCTTTTGCAGCCCTAAATGCCTGTTGATCTGGATAAAAGAAATTGCTACGTGTAGGAGTTCTGGCAACGCAAACAGAGACATTTCCTGTACAAGACCAGGCTTTGTGCTGCTCGTTTACGCTGCCTTGCCTAGCCTAACCTAGCCTATGCACACAACCCACATCATGTGTTTATATGGCTGTGGGTACAATTCGCTCGTATCCCCGCCCTGCAAAAAAAGACGCTGGGAAGGGCTGATGAATCACGCTCGGATTGGATGATTTTGCGTGACGGCCACGACCCTGGAAGGTTTGAAACCGCCGTTTGGCCGTTGAGACTGACTCATTCATACTCTATTCCCATTCAAAAAATACCCCTTCTTTGTTGAAAAGCGTAATCTAGGAAAATCTGTAAAAGTTATATGTGTTCTCAATTTGCAATTCCCGTCGCTTGCTCAGGCTCCGTTTCCACCGCCCCAAAAGTGAATATTCAAACAATCATTCCGTTTACGACGTTCACTGTACCGGTCACAACTCATGAAATATTCAATTCCTGAACGTGGTATAATGTGAGAAACCCGAGCGTGTGTTTCGTAGACCGCCTACAGGAAGATACAGTCTCCCACGCGGCTAGGAAGCTCGTGCCAGGTCGAATGTTGTAAAGCTGTGCGCGTTTAAATTTTGCAGATGATAATGACAGACATGTGAGCATCAGAAATAATCGCTCTTTCAATAAATTGTACCCCAATTGCACCACTGATTTTTGAACATTATAAATTCTCTTCCAAAATGTCTAGAATCCACTCATTAGCAAAAAATTCTCATGATTGAAAAATCGTCCAAAATTTAGACCTTTATTTTAAATTTAAATATCATTTCAAATGATAATGATAATGTTTATCATAATTCTCTCTAAAACACTTATCGGACTTCGTTCATACAAATGTTCAACCCATTTGGACTCATACTTTCCTCAATATGAGACTTTGAAAAAAAAATCACATTTATGATGACGTCACATGCCCTATGATTACGTAATCTTGACAACACTTTTCATAGCACTTTGGTATTGTGGTATTGGTTTGTACCAAGTTTCAAGTCAATCCGATGGAAGGAAGTGTACTATTTTGCAAGCAAAATCGTAAAAAATCAACCGATGACGTCATTATGACGTCTTTTTTAAATGTTGCATACTAGGACCATTATCTACATACCCACCACGTTTCACAACACACAGACCTTGCCTGATATGTGTTTTTAACAATCGCATTTTTGATGACGTCATCATGACTTTACACTTTTTTTCAAAATATTTGGCATGTATCTATAAAACATAAAACAAAAGGAATAATGAATTTAGCTTGTTCTGTTGATGAGATATGGCTTAATGGTCCAAACTTTCGAAATCGCACAATGATGTCATTATGACATCACCTCGTTTTTTACCTTTAACACTTTCCGGTCTACCCACCTACCAATTTTTAACCCTATCGGACTTACCGTTCTGTAGATTTACAGCTTCAAAATATGCACGTTTGTGATAACATCACGCAATCCACGATGACGTCCTCACGACGTCATTCTTCGGCATACATCTTTGCTATAACGACTATGCATATGTTAACTTTCTATGATGTATGCAAAAGAGGAATGCCAAACGTGGCTTGTAGAAAAATCGTGCACAAAGTCTATGGCGTTTTTGCATGAAACAAAACGACGAAAGAAAAAGAAATCAGACCAAAAACAAAGGCTTTTTCGCAAAATTGCGCAAAAAAACTAGAAATGTGTTTTTGGACAAACACAAGCTGTTTCGGATTATTGAAATACTCTGCGCAAGTGATGAACAATTGAAGACCTCACTTCAAATGTCATCTGTAACGGCACATTATACGTACATATCAGGTTACAACCATAGTTTTTTTTTTTAGATATAAGCCTTTTATAGAAAAAAATACCCTTTAATTGATGTCACATGACATTTGATGATGCCATTACTTGAATTTATAACACATCCAGGTATGAGTACATATCAAGTATCAATCCAATCAGACATATGGTTCTGTAGCATAGGCCTTAGAAATTGCCCTTTTTGACGTTATGATGACGTCACTGCAATTTCCATCTGAAACACATCCCTGTGAATGTGCATTTCAAGTTTTAACCAAATCGGGCGAGTACTTCCGAAGTTATAGTGATTTGAAAAAAAAATGCACATTTAATGTGACGTCGGTGTGTACACCGAAACAGCAAAAAAAATCTTAACGAAAATAAGAGCAGCTGCAATTAACTTGGCACCATTTGTTAAAGTAACAACAACAGACTTTTGTAACTTAGAACTTTCAAGTAATATTATAGTACTACAACTTGTTACATTGGTCACGGGTTACATCTCAGCATTTATTTGTTTGTTTGTTTGTTTGTTTGTTTGTTTGTTTGTTGGGGTGTTGGGGTGTTTGTTTGTTTGTGTTAATACATTTCAGTGTTGTAGTACTCGTACTCGGTACTCGTACTCGAGTACGACTCGAGTACTTTTTTGGAGTACTTGTACTCGTACTCGAATGTCAAAGTACTCGTACTCGAAATGACGGTACTCGTACTCGGGCAGCAAAGTACTCGTACTCGACATGTCGAAATTGCACTCGATCATTAAAGTACCCGTACTTGAATAGCAGTACTCGGAGGAAAATGTTATAGCTTCACTTACCATGGCCTTATTTTATCGATTCTTTCAGTTGGAAATTGTTCATTGGCTTGTTGAGAAATCGAGATTTCCTGATTTTCCTCTGTGCAAGTCCGGACAAACACATTTAACAGCTAGCTGTGAGTGGGTCCGTAATCGGTCGAAAGGGCTTGGCCAATTACGCACAATCAACCATTTGCCGTATGGCCGTATTCGGAAATGCGAGTACTCGTACTCGTACTCGGAAGTACAAGTACTCGTACTCGGACTCGGAAGTACAAGTACTCGTACTCCGAGATCTGTTCTTGTACTCGGAGGTACAAATTTTCGTACACGTACTCGTACTCGGCAACCTAGGTACTCGGCAGTACTCAGTACTCTGTACTCGGAAAAAAGTACTGGAATACAACACTGATACATTTGCATCTTATACCTAAAACGTTAAAATTAACCAAAAACACATGAATTCATTCAAGTAATCTGACAAGCAATCAATAACTTAGGAAAACAAAAGGCATGCATTGGTCTTTTACCGTAGGGGCATGGTTCCAGAGTTGTCCCTGTTGGTGTCACAGTTGTCCCCGTCGGTGACGCAGTTGTCGCTGTGGGTGACGCAGTTGTCCCTGTGGGTGGCGCAGTTGTCCCTGTTGGTGTCACAGTTGTCCCCGTCGGTGACGCAGTTGTCCCTGTGGGTGACGCAGTTGTCCCTGTGGGTGGCACAGTTGTCCCTGTTGGTGTCACAGTTGTCCCCGTCGGTGACGCAGTTGTCCCTGTGGGTGGCGCAGTTGTTCCTGTGGGTGTTACAGTTGTCCCCGTCGGTGACGCAGTTGTCTCTGTGGGTGGTGCAGTTGTCCCTGAGGGTGTCGCAGTTGTGTCTGTGGGTGGTGCAGTTGTCCCTGATGTACCTGGGCCTGTGGTTGATGGACTTATAGTTGATTTACCTGGGCCTGTGGTTGATGGACCTGTGGTTGAAGGGGTTATGGTTGATGGGCCTATGGCTGATGTGCATGTGGCTGATGGGCCTTTGGATGATGTGCCTAGGCCTGTGGTTGATGTGTCTGGGCCCGTGGTTGATGTGCCTGGGCCTGCGGTTGATGTGAATGGGCCTGTGGTTGATGTAAACATTGTTTAAAGACATAAATGGCAGACAATGTTCCTGATCTTTTAGTAAAACAGTAATCTTTATGTGGCCCAAACCAATATGCAATATGAAATTGAATCACTACATGTGTTGGCATATGTGCTCTGTGCACAGAAAAGGAGAGTTGGGGGTGACCTAGACTGGTTCCCGACCCATCCATTGCGTATTTTGAAGGTATCCAAAGTTATTGGAGGTAGGGATAAGTCTCGCGACGGAGACCATTGCAAGTTGAATGGACCGATCCAGTAAGCCCCGCCCAGTGCGTACTGGGCAAATTAACACGTGCTCCTTTCCGATGCCAAACTGCATTTTCTTGCCGCACGCACCATACGCGAATGCACGCATGTCGGACTTTTGTGCACGCACGTCCGGACATAAATCACGGCTGTGATTGGTCAGAACACCATGGGGCGGTGCTTACTGGATCGGTCCATTCGAACGCGAAGACGCGGTGGCTGTAACTTTTGCACATTCAGGAAGTCGTGCGTACTTCGCGCGCGAAGAAGTACAGTACAGTATGCGCACGCTGTGCGTCCCGACCACGAAGCTCTCCAAAGAGGTAAAAATGCCAGTGTTGTTTACTCGAGTCGGATTCGAGTAGCTTTTTTTTTTTTTTACTTGAGACTTGACTTGACTTGGGAAAAAAATGACTGGAGACTTGACTTGACTTGAAAAAAATATGATTTGGGACTTGACTTGACTCGAATAAATTTGACTTCCTGACATTAACACGTTTCTTTAAGTTACAAAAAAACCAGCTATGCACCAGCATAGTCGGTTGAAAAGAATGCAGATATACTAGCAAATTAGCAACCAGCATCCTGAGCATGCCACACGTCATTTACATGACTAGCACTATGCGAGTGTTATGGCCAACGTATACTCGACCTCGTTGAAAACAATTGACTTAAGACTTGACTTGAATTGCTTAAATTTGACTTGGGACTTGACTTGGCTTGGAAAAAAAATGACTTGGTTACAACTCTGAAAAACGCGCCCTCTTTGTTGCGGCACGGATCCCATTTCTCCCCTGTCAGATATGATAGTTGATACACATCTGAATTGCACACAGGGGCATGGCAGGCGATCACCAAGGAGAAATAAAGGAACGTCTGAAAAGTTGGAATGCGCTGGTACGTTCCACTGGAGAACATCGCCTGTTCCAATTGGGAGTATGCATTGTTCCCACATTGTTCCGCCCGGTGACACTGGTCCAAGCGTGTGCACGCTTACTCGAAACGGCCTGTTTCAGTTGGCAACACGCTGGAAACACAGCACTTTCCAAAAAGAAACGTCCCATACAGGCATGCAATTGGGAAGTTACTAAAAAGAGGTGAACCAAATGAAATGTATTTGTCGATTTGGCAATAAGCGTTTTATTCGCGCCTGGATGATGTGAATTCAATGTTGGGTTTTGCCCTTCACCGACATACTTTATAAACACTGTACACGCAGTGTTGCCCCCGAGTGATTGTGGGGAAAAAAATTCTTTCATTACGGTACCCGCTGCTATATGATTCTAACAAGCCAGCCGACCCCAGCAAGCTCGGTGATCGAGTGGTAAGACATCAGCGCTAGTCAGAAGGTGCTAACAGCCAGACAGCTATCATCTCTCCTTCTACATTTCTACATTGGAATTGGCATTACCTTCAGTTGTTGATACTGTTGGCTCAGACGTACTCCCACAGTAACACCAAATGGGCGTTGCTAACTCACGGCCTCCATTTAATGACTTTAGGACTTTAGCGGCTAGCAGTGGGACTTCAGCGGCTGACGCTGTGGCTTCAGCGGCTGATGATGTGGTTTCAGCGACTGTAGTTGTGGCTTCAGCGCCTGTAGTTGTGGCTTCAGCGGCTGTAGTTGTGGCTTCAGCGCCTGTAGTTGTGGCTTCAGCGGCTGTAGTTGTGGCTTCAGCGCCTGTAGTTGTGGCTTCAGCGACTGTAGTTGTGGCGTCAGCGACTGTAGTTGTGGCTTCAGCGGCTGTAGTTGTGGCTTCAGCGGCTGTAGTTGTGGCTTCAGCGGCTGTAGTTGCGGCTTCAGAGGCTGAAGTTGTGGTTTCAGCGACTGTAGTTGTGGCTTCAGCGCCTGTAGTTGTGGCTTCAGCGACTGTAGTTGTTGCGTCAGCGGCTGATGCTGTGCTTTTAGCGGCTGTAGTTGTGGCTTCAGCGGCTGTAGTTGTGGCTTCAGCGGCTGTAGTTGTGGCGTCAGCGACTGTAGTTGTGGCTTCAGCGGCTGATGCTGTGCTTTTAGCGGCTGTAGTTGTGGCTTCAGCGACTGTAGTTGTGGCTTCAGCGGCTGTAGTTGTGGCTTCAGCGGCTGTAGTTGTGGCTTCAGCGGCTGTAGTTGTGGCTTCAGCGGCTGTAGTTGTGGCTTCAGCGGCTGTAGTTGTGGCTTCAGCGGCTGTAGTTGTGGCTTCAGCGGCTGTAGTTGTGGCTTCAGCGACTGTAGTTGTGGCTTCAGCGACTGTAGTTGTTGCTTCAGCGGCTGAAGTTGTGGCTTCAGCGGCTGATGCTGTGGCTTCAGCGGCTGTAGTTGTGGCTTCAGCGGCTGTAGTTGTGGCTTCAGCGGCTGTAGTTGTGGCTTCAGCGGCTGTAGTTGTGGCTTCAGCGACTGTAGTTGTGGCTTCAGCGACTGTAGTTGTTGCTTCAGCGGCTGAAGTTGTGGCTTCAGCGGCTGATGCTGTGCTTTCAGCGGCTGAAGTTGTTGCTTCAGCGGCTGATGCTGTGCTTTCAGCAGCTAAAGTTGTGGCTTCAGCGGCTGTAGTTGTGGCTTCAGCGACTGTAGTTGTGGCTTCAGCGGCTGATGCTGTGCTTTCAGCGGCTGAAGTTGTTGCTTCAGCGGCTGAAGTTGTGGCTTCAGCGGCAGATGCTGTGCTTTCAGCGGCTGAAGTTGTTGCTTCAGCGGCTGATGCTGTGCTTTCAGCGGCTGAAGTTGTGGCTTCAGCGGCTGATGCTGTGCTTTCAGCGGCTGAAGTTATGGCTTCAGCGGCTGAAGTTGTGCCTTCAGCAGCTGAAGTTGTTGTTTCAGCGGCTGATGCTGTGCTTTCAGCGGCTGAAGTTGTGGCTTCAGCAGCTGAAGTTGTTGCTTCGGCGGCTGATGCTGTGCTTTCAGCGGCTGAAGTTGTGCTTTCAGCGGCTGAAGTTGTGGTTTCAGCAACTGATGCTGTGACTCCAGTGGTTGACTCTGTGCTTCCAGCGGTTGACGCTGTGACTTCAGCGGTTGACTCTGTTTCTTCAGGGGTTGTCTTTAAGACTTCATTGGTTGACTCTTGGACTCCTGTTGTGTAATCTGATGGTCCTGGGGTGTTTGGTATTGGTGTGGTTGAGGATTCTGTGGTTCCATCACACAAGCACCAAGTAATAGATGGCTTCGTGGTGTAAGACGGTGGACCTGTGGGATCGGGATAAGGAGTATATGTATTACAGCCCTTATGGATTAGACAAGCTTGACTAAACTAAACTGATAAAAAAAACCAGAAACCAGCATTGTTCCTACAATCACTCGCTCTCCATATCAACAACTTTTTCAAAATCAGAAATGGTGAGCTATGTGTTACTGCGGCAGAGAGGCGATTGACACCAACTAGGAGCACCCGCTTACATTCAAGCAAGATTCAAGCATTTCAACTCAAGAACCGAGATATATGTAAGAACTCATTTTTCCAAAAACAATCGTCGACCGGAATGTTCTGCCCCCCCCCCCCCGCTGTCAACGAAGATCAAGTCCCACGTCTTCAACAGCAAGTTTCAAGTGAAGACCCACGTCTTCAACAGAAAGTCTCAAGTCAAGTCCCACGTCTTCAACAGCAAGTTTTAAGTGAAGTCACACGTCTTCAACAGCAAGTCTCAAGTCAAGTCCCAAGTCTTCAACAGCAAGTATCAAGTCTCGTCTCAAGTCTTCAACAGCAAGTATCAAGTCAAGTTCCAACTAGTCTTCAACATCAAGTGTCAAGTCAGGTCCCAAGTCTTCAACAGCAAGTGTCAAGTCAGGTCCCAAGTATTCAACAGCAAGTATCAAGTCAAGTCCCACGTCTTCAACAGCAAGTATCAAGTCAATTCCCACGTCTTCAACAGCAAGTGACAAGTTAAGTCCCAAGTTTTCAAGGTAAATGTTAAGTCAAGTCCCAAGTCCTCAACAACAAGTATCAAGTGGATCCCAAGTCTTCAACAACAAGTGCCAAGTTCAGTCCCAAGTCTACAACAGCAAGTATCATGTCAATTTCAAGTGTTCAACAGCAAGTCTCAAGTCAAATCCTAAGACTTTAACAGCAAGTATCAAGTCAAGTCCCAAATCTTCAACAAAAAGTACCAAGTAAAGTTCAAAGTCTACAACAGCAAGTATCATGGCAAGTCACAAGCCTTTAACAGCAAGTCCGAGGTCTCGTCAAGTCCTAGACTTCATGACGTATTTTAGTAGCCGATTCCCAAATGAAAGGTTTGCAGTGACTCTCAGCTTAAATTTCGTTATTTAATAATTACAACACAACAGTACGACACACTCAATCACTCTGGTGTCATACGACAAAACCTCAAGAAGAAATACTGTTTTGTTTTTACATTGTTTGTTGTCAAATGAGGACCCGTGAATGACCAATTAGGTACGTACCATGGACATGTCCACGTGGTTATTGGCTCTAGGGGTGCAGCCAGTAAATCGGTTTGAAATTGCCAACGCCGTCCAAATCACGATTTGTTTGAGCATATTGTGGGCCGTGCACAGGACCGTGAGCTTATATTGTTGTGAAATTTGGATTAAATTGGGCCTTAAAAGCGCTCTTTTTTGCAATCGAGTGTTTCAAAATGGTGATGGGCTTCAGGACTATTTTAAGGGGTGATCATCTTCGGTTTGAAAAGAAAATGAAATGTGATGAAAAAAGCTATAATTTGATGTGTTTCTCAAACACCTTGGAGAGCTGTGAGTATTTTTCCTGAATTTCCCGAAGTGGGGGCATGTAGCATTGAGGTCTACGGCCGTTTAGTTACTGGTCTCCACCCCTAGCGGTCAAGCTACATCGGCGGGTAGAGGGCGCTATAGATAAGATGGTGCGGGCGTACTTAATCGATAAAACAATATAGAAAATACTCGAAACAAGGTTAAACCGGAAGAGAAAACTTTTTGTTTTTTAAATAAAAAGAGGGTCTCCTCTTTTATCGAGATATCACAACGCCTACTTACCTATTTTCATATTCAACTCACAAACGTTGATTCAAAAAAATATGAGCAAAACGCCATATCCCCAAAAAGAAAAAAAAAGAAAGAAAACGTCCAAACGGGGTAAGGGACAAAGAAAGTGCAAACACATCAGTCTCGGTCTCTGCCGCAGTGGTAAGATTTGGGTTTTTTTTGGAAACACAATTGTTGGTATGTGAGGGGGTGAAACTTATAGAAACGAGTTCAATGGATAACCCAGATACGCCCATGAAACTTTTTGCCGTGTTTCTGAGCCTATCTCACGCTTTATTTGGAATATCATTGTATAGATTACCGAATTTACAGGCTTGGACAAGCGAGGCATTACGGTAGACTGGGAATCGTTGAGCATGCGCACCGATAGCAGGGGCGGGGTGGATGGATTGGTGGGGTTTGGAAGAATTAGGGGGGATAGAAATTATTAGCAGCGTCGTATAAGAGTTTACAAGCAAGACGGAAATGTTCAATGCCAACTGTTGATTTAAAATGCCATGGTCCAATGGTTACGGTGTTTGACTAATTTACGATTGTGGACATAGCCTATGCTAAGAATTACATTATTTTATAATGTTAATTATTCTCGGAAATGCAAATCAGGCCTGGTGCAAATGAAGTTGAACGTAAGGTGGGGGGTCTTGTGAAAAGCAATATTCATTAGACAATATCGGGCGTTTTACAATCACTAAGGGAGGATCGGAGGATATCAGGAGGATACATTTCATATGAATATTCAGCGTACATGTAATAATCTAAAATGAAAATTCATATCATAAACACGGGGTGCAATATAATCTTCTATATTGTTAAGAAACAGCTTTTTTGATGACTCTTAATAATAGGCATACGTTGAGCGGCCGCGTTTCGCGTATAACCAAAGTTTCGGAATCACGTTTCAGCCCGGTTCATACTCGGCGCGAAAGCGAAAGCGAACGCGAATTTGTGACGTCGTGGCAAGTATTCGCGCTGCGAATTCGTAAAAGTTGAACATATTTCAACTCAGGCGAATTTCGCAGCGAATGCTTCGTGACGTCAAGTTCGCTTTGCATTCGCATTCGCATGAAGTATGAAGCGGCTAATGCCCTTAACGGAGCACAAAGGCCGCGCACTATTGCCTCGTGGAGTTCGGTCACCTACACTTTTGGCGTCGTAAATCCTGTAAAATTGTTTGTGCTGATGTGACGGATGAATGAATGCGATCTTTTGTGGTATACAACCGAAGCTATTTTGGTTACCGCCGGGGGCAGGAAGCTCACTAAAACTCGCAAGTTATTTGTTAAAATTTCAATCGAGTTCAAAGTTTATTCCGGTAGCACCCAAAAGCATTATGCTCGCATAATGCATTGTCCGAAGGGAAAAATGTGGGAAATCCCCTAGTAAGCGGGGCCTGAAAATTCTGTAAAAAATGAAATTGGCATAGAATCAACTAATTTATCTGAACAGTTTACGCCCCGTGTATTCGACATGGAAATACCACGTTATGTTACAATTGGACCGAAAACGTTCAACCTAGTTGATTGAATTATGAACTGAAAACGAATGCGAAGAACGTAAAGGGCAATTAATAACAAAAATCGAATTAAAACTGTCCATCTGACGCAAGCAGCTAGCTATATTGCACCATCGATTACCTTAGGTTTGTCACAGACTTTTAAGCATTTTGTGAGCTATTTGAACTATTTTCTGATGCTGTATATTTTCTGATACTGTACTGCACGGTCGGCCGATTGGTCGTTGCATTTTTTGTTCCCCCGCTTTTTTTATGGGAAGGTGGGATAGGGGCTTGCCCTTGTTTCCACGTTGCACTTAAATCAGATTGGCTTGATCGTCCTTGCTTGTAACAAAGGGTGATTATTGTAAAGACATAACTATGTCATAATCAATGATTATTCAATTCAACTTTTAAGCCTGTGGCAATGTCAAAAAAAAAGAAGAAACTGTGTAGCTTCAGATAAAATGGTTCTATGTTCTGAAGTAGTAAGCAGCCAGGAGGTTCAGGGTTCGAGTCCCACACGACTCAGTGATTTTGTCGAAGTCTTGCAAAACAATTAGTTAATGCCTGATATACTTCGTCACGACGCAAGTACAATGTTATGTTCACTCGGAGAAAATGATAAATTTCGAGCTGAAATAATAAATGGAATTTTAAGTTCTTTAAATTATTCTCAAATTGCATACAGATGAGAGCATCGTAGGTTCCAACGTTTTCGTGAGGGGTGGGGGATCTCCGGACTCCCTACCAAGGCGTACTTTCGACACCATTCACTCAACCCCCTCTGATAGCTAAATCCGCCCCCTGAAAACGCTGAACTGACCGACTATAAGCACAAAGCTAATATACCAGACCATCTGCCAAACTGTCCCGCTTGATACAGAGTCAGTCTCCTGACAAACCGAGAGATAAAACCTCCAACTCTCAAATTTCCCCCTTTTTAATCTCCAACAACAATATTGAAAAAAAAAAATCAACAGCAGCTCAGGCCAAATAAAAAGTCTCCGGTTTCTGGTATGGAGCTTGCCCCCAAAGTGGAGCGGCGACGCAGCTTTTTTTTTTTTTTTTTTTTTGTTCCTTTTTTTCCTTCAAATGTCGGCTGATGACTGCAAATGGTGCCAGACTAAATTTAGTGCAAAATTATAAGGAAGACAAGAGAGGCCACATAAAGCTTATACTAGAACGTAACTCCATCTAAAAACACGTTAAAAACTGTGCAGCAGCAAGATTCCAGTCAAACCAGTGAGTTTGGCGGTTGTGAGACATCATCTTACATTGACAAAAAAACTTTTCATTTTGCCGACGCGCATGGCTACGGCGACGCGCGTGCAAACCAGAAACCGGAGACTTTTTTTAGCCTAATACAGCTTACGGTGTAACCCAGAAACGCCCAAATATATCAAATAGTCTTTCACTACACCGTGACCAGTTTCTAAAACTTGGATCCGGGATTATATTTTGATTGACACTACAAAGTATGAATGCCATAAGACTGCCCTGGAAACGAAATATTTCAGTTGGTCTATTCAAATGTATAATTGGAAATTTGTCCAGGGGTCAGGATCTGCACGCCGTCTCGTTCTGGAAATTCGTTCCTACGCATTCACTCAAACCCCCCCCCCCCCGTTTCATGAAAACGCTATACATGTAGTATTTATTTATCATACAAAACTGACCGAGCATATAGGCACAAAGGTAGTGTACCAGATCT